GACACTCCGCACCTTGTAATGGGAGACTTCAACCACTGCAACCCTTCGAAGTCCTTAAGCAGCTTTTATCAATATGTGACATGCCCCACTAGACAAGCAAAGTGTCTTGACCTTTGTTTCGGATCCGTGAAGGGTGCATACAAGTCTTTTAGCAGAGCTCCGTTGGGCATGTCAGACCACAGTGTTGTTTACTTGATTCCGTCATCAAATCTGTCCCAAAGAGGAACAAGCCAGAGAGACGTTTGGTTCCGGTTTGGTCAGAGGAATCAGTCTTCTGCCTCCAGGACTGCTTCCACTATACAGACTGGATTTTATTCAAAAAAGTCTGTGTGGATCTTGACGAACTAACTGAAGTGGTCTCTTCTTATGTCTCTTTTATCCGGAATATTATATCGGGTAAAATATACCCGACGTTAGTGATGGTGTTACTAATTTTAACGTTAGTGTTCTAGGGTTAAGAAGGATGAACGTCAGCATTTAATATTTTCTCTTTAATGTTTTCAAGCAAGCAGAACTGATGCATCCTTAGCATCTGGTTTTTTTGGTGTTTGTCTAATTTTTTTTATGTGTATTCTGTTTGTCTGAGGTGTAGATTCTTTGGTCTATTAGGATTTTAGGAGTCTTAAGAATAGTGCTAGTAGTTGTAGAACTGTATTTTGTTATCGTAAGGAAGTAAAAAAAAAAAAGAAGAAGAAGTAATCTAACCTTGTAGCAACTCTTGAACAAGTACACAAGTATTTCAAATCATTCAAAACTTTCTTTTATATCATTTAATGTGGGTAAAACATGCACTCATTTTTTCTTTGTTTTTCTCAGTCTGAGACTTTGCTGGATCCGTACCAGGCTCTGAGTCCTGCTCAGAAGGACATTCAGCGACAAAATACTCTGCAGCTACTGCGCAGTTCTCTGCAGATTCCAGAGAGCGACACTGAGCTTCAGGAAACGTTGACCCTCATCCAGGAGCTCAACAGCCTCCAGATCGTCTTGGTTCAACCGGGCGACCAAGAACAGGAGAACAACGTTGAGACCGAGACGCTGGTTGAGTCTGGGTGGCCTCAGTTCTATGAATCGGCAGCTACTCACTGTGGCCTGTGTAACTACCCGCTCTTCAAAGGAGGCCAGAGGTGACGAGTTCTTTCTTGATGTCTCTTGTCGACTCCCTAGCTTCTCTTCATTATTTCTGTTTTCTAACTGTCCTGCTTTTGGTTTTATTTTGTCAATACTGACATGTTGTATTGATGTCTGGCCCTCTAATGTGTATGACTTTTATTTTTTGATGTTTGTACATTCTAGTACTGTTGCAGGACAGGAAGACTGCTGGCTGCTCACTGAAACACTGATGCAGACCGCCTCCCTCCAGCTCAAAGTGTGTCTCAATGTTCAGTGTCTGGCCTTGCACAGCTTCACTGACCTGCATCCAGGTAAACAGAGCTACATGCTGTACATGCAGTAATACTTCATTTAGCATTAAGCACCAAAGCCCAGCAGATTTTTCTTACTTTTGGTTCACTGTCTTCTATTGTCTATTTTAAGATTGTTGTATAGGACTTAAATGGATTGCAGACTGCACAATTCAGACGAAAAGCAACTATAAAGGCAATTTAAATAAATAAAAGCACATATAAAATGTAAAAAAAACAAAACAAAAAGCATTACAAAATGGAAAAACAAACCTAATAGAATCAGGGTTGGGGTGTGTCCTGCTGATGCTAATATCAGTCTACTAAATGGAAAAGAGGCTTCACATTAAACAAATGATGGCCGTACATTTGTAATGTACACAATCCAACTTTACCATTTATTTAAAAGAAAAATGTCTCAAAGTAAAAGTATTTTTTCCCTCTTAAATATGTCATAAATAATGTCACTTCAATTGCCTGTTGTAGGTATTTTCTGGTCTCAACAACTTTCCAGTATTGGCTTCCCTGCTAGCTGCACTTGCAATCTGTAATAGATATCTAACAGTAGATCAGCGTTGTTTGATGGCAGCACACCGAAGTCCAACGTCTTTAGTTCAAAGGGAACATCCAGACAGAATACTTCTTGCAAAAGAAACCAGAAAGAAATTATTAATAGGCAGGACCAAAATATATGATAGTGGTTTGCCTCCATACACCCACGTTGTCTTGAGCATTTACAAAGTTGGACATAGTCTCTTGATTAATGAAGTATCTTGTGAGGTTTTTCCAACACAACTCTTCACAGTTCCCTTTGTACAGCATTGAGCTTGAGGTTTTCCATTTTAGCTCACATAACAACCCTCATTTCTCTTCTGTTATACTGAGTTTTCTTTCTTTTTCCGATTTTATTTTCCCCTTCAGTGCATTTGGTTTGCTGTAGACCCTTATACAGTTTTGAGATCTTTTTGTTGATGTGTCTTTGATTGATATACCTTTTATGGAGACTTTCAGTAAAAAAAAATCATCTAAGTGCTTTTTAAAAAAAAAAAAAAAAAAAGTAACTTCATTTATTGCTCAATATAGTGCCAGAGTTGAACAAATCTATTAAATCATTATTACTTAACTCTTTGTGGACCCCTAAAGAAAAGGTACAATTTGCTGTTTAACCTCGAGTGACCCATCCTTTAAGCCATCTGGTCTTTTAGGTGTAAAATCTGGGTCGTATGCACACTATCTCAAAACTTTCACAGCTTCTTTTAAATGGGTTTGAGCTGCTGTCTTATTCCAGAGCTTAAGTGATAAGCATATCCATGTTTTTTTCCACAAGTTATTCACAAGTCAGCAAAGACTTTTCCCTAATTACTGCTTGTATTTGGTATTCATCTGTTATATCCTCCTCAGTCACCTTCCGTCTAGCCAAACTCCTGGACTAAAACCAGCACATCAAGGGTCTGTATAGTAATGTTTTGAACACAAGCATAAAGCCCCTCACTTGTTTTTCACCAGCTGTAGTGTCTGATGTCTCATTCTGGGCTTCCACCCTTGTCAAATGTACTTTGAAATAAGTTTGTCCTATTTCTGATATTGTTGGAATATTTATTTTGACCTATACAATTTGAGAACCAAAATCAAGACGAGGTATTAGGCCCCATCTCCCTATGTATTCCCCAAGCCTTTGATTTAGGCAGAGAAAATTGATTGAAAACTATTTTGTTACATCACTTGGTATATTTTCTCTCAAATATTTCATAGATTTCATGCCTCCTACTGTAACTGAAGCCATGACATCATATTTCTTAAGGGACTTGAAACTGAGAACTTGTGTTTTTATAACAGTCTGTTTGAAACCAAAGAAAGAGCAAGATTGTTAGACAAGTGTGAACGAGTGCACCAGTGTGGTCTGAGCTGGACAAATACACTCAGTCATCATCAGCAAATAGGGAAATCTTGTGTTCCCCTGCTTCATATTCATTCCTTTAATATTTCAGGGTCAAATTATCCACAGACTCAAGGGTTTCATTAAAATTACAAACAAGAGACAGCTGATTGAACCGTGTTCTTTATTCTAAGACAAAGGAAGGATTCTGTCTATGTTGCCACTGCTCTTTATCTCAATGTAATGTAATTCATTCAAACTAGTTGGAGCTGTTAAAATGCTGAGCCACTGATGATTTATCATCATGATTATGAATAGAACAATGTTGTCAGAATGTAGTTTTTCACTTGTTTTCCTAACATAATACAAGGTGTGTCAGAAAAGTTCCAGGACTGGTGTCACAAAAGATATATTTCAAATCCAAAATACAAGTTTTCTCCTTTAAAGCAATCCCCCTGGAGTCTTAACACACTTCCCCAGCCTTCTCTGCCACGTCGCCATGCACTCCTGGAAGGATTCTTCCGGGATCTTCCGCAGCTCCGTCATCACAGCCATCTTGATGTCGTCCACGTCTTCAAAACGGGTCCCCTTGATGACCCCCTTGAGCTTGGGGAAGAGGAAAAAATCACATGGAGCCAGGTGGAGTGAACAGGGAGGTTGCTCCAGCACGGTGATGTTCTTCTCAGCCAGGAACTGTGGAATGCTCAGGGCATTGTGTCATGGTGAAGCAGCCACGACTTGTCCTGCCACAACTCTCGCCTCTTCTCGCACACTGAACAAAGCAAACGCTGCAGGATCTTTTTGTAGACGTGCAGGCTGGTCATCTGAAGGGGAAAACTTGTAGTTTGTAGTTTGAAATATATCTTTTGTGACACCAGTCCTGGAACTTTTCTGACACACCTCGTATACATCACAAGGGCATTTAACAGGTAAACTACAGTACATGTAGTGTAATTCTGTCCCTCCAGCCTTGATTTCACTACTCAGCCTCAAATGGATAAAATGATTCCTCTTAATTATTGAATAAAAATTTGTACAATTTTAACAAGAAAGACCTCTGCAAGGAATCTGAGACAGAAAATAGTCCTGTGACAGTATTAGTGTTTGAAATGCCCCAGCAACTTGAGGGTCACTTGGACATATGTATCGATTGCTGCTTACTGCTTGTTCAACTGACTTGGATATCAGACTATAGAGAGATGCTCATGTAAGACCTGGAGGAGGGGAATCCCTAAGTCCTTACATTTTAAAGCTTTGGCCTGTGTCTCAAAAGAATCATTAGAATTAGAAATGCATTTTATCCTCTGTCATATATATAGATTTTAAAGCTGGTCTGTCTCTATGCTATCTATGTACTATGTCATTATTTACACCAAAACATGCAACTATTTGTATCAAGAATACTGTGATTGCTCAGGTCTGCACGTCAGACACAATTTACAAAACTGTTGCTCATTAGACATTTTCTCTGTGACCGTCAGTAATACACTGATTGGCCAAAAGGAGGAACCACAGCTGAAGGATTTGTATCATCATACATCATGTATGATTCTAGTAAATCATATTTGCCCCCATTTTCCACTTCTCTGCTCTCCAAGGCTCATTTACAGAGAGCGTGTTTTTATCTAATTTCACATGTTTTATAAGAATGTTTATCATTACCAGGCTGAGGATTTTTATTTTAATATCCAGATGTTTTGCTGATTCCTATATTCACCTGTTTAACATGGCAGGTGAATATTTCAGACACAGCCTCATGTCAGTTTTTTATGTCACAATGCAAAACTATCAGTATTGTGCAAAAACTTTTTATCTTTTTATCTCCAGTGTAATATTTGGATAGTGATATTTTCTTAAACATTTAAACATTAATGTAAAACATTAATTTAACAGCTGCAGTATTTCATACAGTTCCACTTCACTTGCGGGCAAAGGATCGCAGACAATATTTTCCTTGTGTTTTCATGGTAACGGCAATGCTAAGTTACAGTTTCTTAGTTGCACATCAACTGCTTCTGGGAGGATTTTTTATTTTGTACTGTGGTTTGGCTAGAAGTCAAATTTCTTTGTGAATTCAGTCATTGATTCTGTTTTTGGTTGTTGACAGGTTTGTTTAACATCGGGAACAGACTGCTGGTGAGTATTGACCTGTTTCTGAAAATCAGGGCCAACATCAAGCAGGGCCAGTCTCCCTCTCAGGCAGCCAGGACGATGCTCGACCACGTCCCCAGTCATCCTGGTAAATACTGGATTCCCTCACTCTTTCTGAAAGTTTGTATCTGTCCAGAATTTATAAATAGCTCCTGTCCTTCACAGGATGTTTTCTCTCAGTCTGTCTTTCTGTTTCTTTGTTTCAGTTCACGCTCTTACTCCGGACGAATCATTTCATATTCAAGAGCTTCTCCTGAGTGGCTACTGGGCCTTTGAGTGTCTCACAGTACGAGATTACAACGATATGATCTGCGGCATTTGTGGTTTTGCTCCAAAGCTAGAGATTGCACAGCGATACACAAACAATGTGTTGGAGCTCAAGCATGTGGAGGTGACAGATTGGTGATAAAAAATCTAAATGAATCCCACCAAATACAAATTAAAACATACTTACAGCCATTTAGCAGTTGCTGTTTTACGGGTGTGTATTTGACAACATGCCCATTTATTCAATCCTGCTGTGACCTCTCTGCAGTTCACCTGGCCTGAGGTTTCAGTCTCAGATGAGGTACATGTGGATGACTTCTGGCTGACTATGGAGAGTGAGGCTATTGAGCAAGCAGCTTTCCCCACAGACATCCCTATCACACGGGTGGATGCTTCCATCATCGCTCCCTTCACCCCTCCTCTGATGAGGAGTGCCACTGTAATCAACACAGAGAAGGACAAGCTGCTGCCTCACGTACAGCCTCCTTCAGGTACATGCTTCCTTTAAATAACAGCTGAATTTTGTCGTTCACACACGTGGATTTGTTATGGGTCAGTAGTGGCAGTATAATTATTCAAATGTCAAGCAGATTTGCTAATAGTGGCTTATGTGGATCATGAAAATATTTTTAAGATGGTACATTTCATCATGTTTTTCAGGAGATCCTTCAGTTTTGGTACGTCTCATTCATGACGGCCAGCTGAGACTCGACAAGATTGAAGATCACAGTGAGGATGAGTTGAGAACTGTGCTGGACCGCTGCGGGGTGAATATCCCGCCAGGCTCTAACAAGGTGTGTGAAACGCAGCGTTTATTATGCTCTTATCCTTTTGGTGTTGCATGTTAATGACTGGAAGTAAATATGTTGACAGCTAGTGCGTGCTAGAATATGAATGTGGGAAAAAACACACAGATCATGTGATAACTTCTTGAATCAAAAAAGTCCCCTCCCCACAGGCTGAGACTTGGAGGCCCAGTGTCTCGCTCAAGGCAAGATGCTTTGCATGAGAACCGTTTCCTCAATCCCTGATCCAAATGTATTTTTATTAGATTTTTTCTTGTTCTTTATTCTCATAGCTCTGTTTGTGTATTTAGATCAAATCTTGCCATGTGTCTCCCTCTGTGTTAGACGGAGCTGCTGGCCTCTCTCATCTCCTTGTACACGCTTGTTCATAGTGGCCTCTCCACCACCCCACAGCCTCCTGCACAACTCACTGCTGGCAAACTGTCCAAAGTCTGTCCACACAAGGTAAAATGACCCAGTTATGTGTCATGTCAAATAAGTAAATTCAGGCTCTCAACTTGTAGCAATGCAGCTTTTTAAAGCTCCAAATGCAAAAAAAAAAAGTCTTTGTAGCACAAATAAAGTACAAAATGAAACTCCCCTTTATGTGTGTAAAGTCTTTTGAATGCACAACCTTTTCTCTCCAGGTGGTGTGTGCCTCTAAGTACTTGGTAAGAGGAGAGACGGCTCGAGACCACGTCGACCTGCTGCTGTCCTCCCGCTACTGGCCTCCAGTCTATGTTTGTGACTGTGCTCGTCAGGTGGCGCTTTGTGCTGACATGCAGTATCCAGAGCTGGCAACCCAGATGTGGGGCAGGAACCAAGGCTGCTTCTCTGACCCCTTTGAAAAGCCAGAGGTGGGTGATTCCAGTTATCTTGTCAGGGACTTGAAATTAGGCCCAATCAGAAATTTAATCTACACATATATTTGCGTACAGTACTGGCTTAAAAAGAAAAATGTAGTTTTTGTCTTCTGATTATGATTGAGAGTATGGGTGTGTTTTGCTATTGTGTTGATGAAATGTTTCATCTTAAACAAATAATGCTAAAGCATTAATTTCTCTTGAGTTATTCCATATATGGAACTGTCTATTAAATTTGATCCGAAGCAAGTTTTAATCACATTTTTCTGCACTTTAGTGGGATTCATTAGCTTGTTTGCATCTGAATAAAAAAAAAATGTTTCTGCTAAACAGCATTTTTTTTTCTTCTCTAAAGGTTTAGTGTGCGTTCTGCCTCACACAAATGATCTTGTTTTTTCTTCAGTTTGTGTCATGTGCTGAACTGCAAGACCAGCCATACAGCGCCGACCTGTCCTTGGTAGCAGAGAACCAGCAGATCCACCCCATCACCAAATCATCTTCTTGCTGGCTGGTTCATCCTCCAGGAGCAGCCCAGGAGCCTCCTGCTCCAGAGCACCACTCCCTGTTCCTCTGCAAAGACCTGGAGCCCTACATCAGCCTGGTGGCTGAGCTGAAGACAGAGAAGGAAGAGGAGGATGGCGAAGCAGCAGAGCAGAAAGAACAGGCAGGTACATCTGAGAATGACTCTGCAGAAAAATCTGACGACTGTTCCTCAGTTAGCTGTGCACGGAAACAACCTATGGTCTTCAACAACACAGCTTATTACTACCTGTACAACCGCCTGGTAGATTTCCTCACTAGCAGAGACATTGTGAGCCAGCAGATTAACCAGGTTGTGAAGGCCTGCCAGCCTGGAGAGGTAGTGATCAGGGATGCTCTGTACCGACTGGGAGTGGCACAGATCAACACAGAGAAAGAGGAAGATGAAGGAAGTGGGATGGAGGAGCAGATACAGGAGGAAGGGACTGAGACGTATGAGGTTGTCCTGCCTGAATAAGAATGTTCAGCTGGATGAATCAACCAACCAGCAGGCAGAGCGGATGGAGTGAATATAAAATGGCTGCATGCAAAGAGATGAGCGAAGAAAAAGGAAGTGCCAAAACAAGAGACGCATGTGCTACCAGAAGCATTTTGGAAGTGATGCAATGTTGGAGTTATTTCACGGTTAAAACTGATGGCTAACCTGTGCAACAGCATATTTAGTCAGCTATGCATCACTAACAGGTTTTACAGATGTGAGGAATAGCCTTTTGGATGAAGTGTAGTAGGTATGGAGAAGAATGCAGAGTGGCCAGTAAGGTTTACTGTGAAGGTACTAAAATAGGATTTTTATTTCAGGATGCAAGTTACAGTGTGAGGCCATTTTTTACCCATTTAACAAGAATAGTGTAAGTTAAAGTGATGGAGACTGAATGTCAAAATTCTCATTCTAAAATGACTAAAGAATGTAATGTATGCATTTTTAATTTGCATTTTTTTTTTTACTATAATGATGCCAGTAGTGTAGAAAAGAAAAAAGAAAAAAAATCAAAGTGTAAACAAGTCAGCCACAACATTAAAACCACAAACAGGTTACGTGAACATCACTGATTATCTTGGTACAATGTAATGCTCTGCTGGGAAACCTTGGGTCCTGGGATTCTTGTGGATGTTACAACATGGTTCCAGACCAACACAGACAGCAGTGGTCTCCCACAGCAGAACAATGCACACCACCACACTTCAAAAAACTGCTCAGGAACGGCTTGAGGAACACAATCAAGAGCCCGAAGTGTTGATGCGGTCCTCAAATTCCCCATATCCCGACTGATCCAGATCCACAAGAGGCCCCGCCTTGCAACTCACATGACCCTAAAAAAACCTCTGCCAGTGTCCGAGTACAAAGGGCACATAGAAGAAAGATGAGGCGAGTGGTTTTAATGTTGTGACTGGGACAGTGTATGAAAAGTTGCTATAAGCTTGACACCTAAATCAATACTTTCCTCTGACTGAATGAATGTAAGCAGGGTTTTTATTAACTCAGCTACTCCAGAACTAAATGTAAATATTTAACCATGAATGATGTGGCATATTTATTACACTTTTTTGCTCCAAGACATTTCCGCTTTATGTTTAAAAGTTCTTACCTCTCAACTACCACCTGCTGCCTTTTTAAGACTGCTTTTAGAAGGGGGTGACAAAATACTTATCCGTTGATTGTACTCAGAATGTGGTGGTGGACCTTTTGCTGTTGGTCTTTCTTTGGTTGCATTGCATTATCATCTCAGATATATATTCAAAGACACAGTGAACCAGTCAGCCTTTGAGAAGCAACTGAAGTAATTTAGTAAATCTGCCTGCATTAAATACTTGAGAGAGATTCCTTTCCTCGTTTTTTTTGTTGTTGTTTTTTTTTATGTTGTTTGTAAAGATCTTGTGTTCTGCATGGCAATTTAAATGAGTGATTGGCTCACAAAACTTTTACGAAGGTTAAAGGCTGCTGTTTTCTGTTCTGTTGATCAAGAGACACCGTAACAGCCATGTACATTGTGTAGATATAGTCATAGATGGACCAAGTGTGCCCTGTAATTTAAACTGCTAATGTAACAAATAAAGATAAAGAAATGAGAGACTTTGTCAGCTCTGGTCAACTTCTCTGTGACAAAATGGTCAAACTGTCATGAAATCTTGCTCACAATCAGTAAACTGATAAAATAATACAGATTATTGCTAATATTTCTATTGACTAGTAATATACTATGACTTGACTACAACGGCTTTGGGTACCACCAACTTAATGACTGTGAGGAGTTGCCAGAATTACTATCATAACTAAACAAGAGTCGTGGTACGAAAGAGGATTTAAACATGTAATGGTTATCTAAGGTGTGACTGAGTGAAAGAGCTTCAGATGGTGTAAAAAAAACTAGAAATGCAGCTTTATTGGCATAAAATGTTACTTGAGGCCCAGAAACCTTTGACACAGTAAAGACAGAAACATACCATATTCCTGCTGTAGTTTTATTAACTTTACTCTGTCCTATAAAACATATTAACGTCGAATAAGAGATTTCTCTGCCTTCATAACCGACACAGAGGTTTTTTTTTTGTAAAGTGTTGCACATTTACACATTGTCTATATTTCAGGATTTAATGTTTTCTGTTTTCTCCTATGGAAGTGTGAACTTCCTAGAATAATGCAGATTTTATAATCGTGGAATTTTCCCATCAATCAAAGACACTTTGATTTGCAGGAACTGTGTGTAAAAGGATCAGTGAACTCCACTAAAGTTCAGAGACCTACGGTGTCATTTACTCCACAACAAGAATGAAGCCACTTTAGCTTGCAGAGTAACATTTTGCCAGGAAAAAAAAGCTGAACACATGAAGGAGGTTGTTGATAATGCATTTTTCTTTTAGACTTGACACATTTTAATGTGTCTAAAATGGCCGACAGATATTTAAAGTTTGTCATGTAAAAAAAAGAAAAAAAGAAAAACCAAAAGGCATGAAATCATAAGAAGAAGCTGATTAACAGGAAAAATCAACACCAAGCTCAGGACTGTTTGGGCTGTTGCGAAAGAGATCATGAAAATATCAAGTGATCTTTTTTTGGACACGGCACAGTTTTACAAAAAGCACGTACGCTCTGGCAGAGCAGAGAAATGAACTCACCCTCAGTAATGTCTTAGTTTCTATATGGAGCAAATTCAAAATGTACTTTGGAAGCCCCAGATTAAGAGAAAAACTTGTTTGAAAATAGTGAGCTACAGTGATTCAAAGGAAGAAATATGATTTCAACTGAAACCACACAAAGAAAGAGAAGCATTCAGCCTTGTTTTTTGTTTTTTTGTTTCTCTTTTAGCAGGATTAATACTTCCCTATGAAGACTTTAGAGTTGTGCAATGTTGACGGATACTGTGGGAAACATTTCAGAGGAAATGCAGCTTGGATGATGTCCAATGAAAATAGGAAGAGAAAGAGGAGAGAAAAGCATAAAGTGCCACAAAGTCTTGATCGGTACAATGAGCTACGACAGCAGCTATAACAAAAGAAACATCTAACATGTAATATCATAGTCGTATATAAACTTTGCACTGGAACCAGGAGTTTCAATGGTAAAGCTTTATTTAACGCCTCTGCAGATTTTCAGCGACTTAATTTGCAGCTTTTGCATTGATTGTCCCATTTGCACTAAAAATACACATACATATGAAATATTGATATTTTACTGTCTACTCTACCACATTCCAGCGAAAATAAAGATAATTCTTGATTTATGAGATATATATATACATTATCAGACATCTCACTTGTGCTTTTTTTATGCACATTTAAAATGCCTTAAGTCACACAAATTTGCAGTTTGTATCTCTCAGCTAGCTTATATGTCATTCTAAAATCTTGGCAGTGTAGGCTGACTGCTACATACTACAGACACTGATGAAGCTTACATCTTAACGCTGATCTGACTCTGCAAGATATGAGAAGATTAAGTTGTGCTATGCAAAAAAAAAAACACCAAACAAACAAACAAAAAAACGTTCACATTGTCAAACGTGAGACATTGTTCTTCTGACCCATAATAGATCCGTAGATTTCCCTGCTCCTAAATCACACTGAACATTGGCACAATCACATGTCGACTGACAACTGTGAGTGTGTCAAAAGAATTACGGCCACAACCAAAGCACAAAGAGGGCAACAACATAACCATTCTCTTCCTTCTCTACGGTTGATTTAGCTTTGTTAAATCGCGGAAATAAACAGTTTGAGCTTTGGATGTTCAATTAAGACTAATCACAGAATAAAATCTAACTTATCTGGGGCACATGGACACGGGTAGCACACATAGTTTTCATCCAGTGTGTGTGACTGTTGAGCTGCACCCTCTGAGAAACCATACATGCAATTAAATGATGAAAAGGAAGTGATCCTGCTGACAAAACTAACTTAAATCTCCACAGAAAAAACAAGACATTCACTCTCATGAGGCAGTAATAAAAAATACTCATAATAAACATGGTATACAATAGATATTAAGAAAACACTCAGAATAAGAGACAAAGGAGATTCTCTGGACAAACAGGTTATACCTCAAACACATAACAGGACTAATAAACTGTCCATCAGGGATAAATACTTTGGATAAAGTATAGCTTTGAATGCTTGTGTGGTTTGTTGACATGTTTCCTCCTTTCATGTCTGGAGTCGGTGTTAGACGTGGCATTTTCTAGTCATGGTCTGCAAATAAGCAAGTCACATGTTCGCTGCAGCTGCTTGTCTGTCTGGAGAGCAGGCACAACAGGCAGAAAAAAAAAAAAAATAGCTGAGAAGGCGACTCTTTGCATCCCTCTCGATTGGAACAAGCTGTGCTGTGGCCATGAACTGCAGCAGATCCCCCTCTCCCCCCCGACGCTGGTTTATGAGCCATTTATTCACTGATTGACCCGCGGATCGATGCCTTCAACAAAACTGGTAGTTGTTGGTCTTCATCAGAGGCTGCTCCTCTTCCTCGTGGTCACAAGACTGGTCACAGGGGCCGTCGTAGCACTTGAGTTCGTCACACACTTCACCCTCTGTGACCTGCTGCTGCACATTCTGGTAGATTAGCTGTGGAGTCATTAAGAGGGTGAGATTTGATCCAAGAAAGCCAAATGTCTAATTTATCTGACTGACGGGATGGTGCGTGAATCATTTTTGCTGACTGAGTTTTTAACATGTGGCAGGGAAGGTTTCTGTGCTGACCTAATAACCGCTGTGAGTATCTCCTTTGAAAATAGCCCTCAAAAAGGATCTCATAAAATCCAGTTCATTTAACTAGTCTGACAGTTTCTCAAGTCTCCTTAAGAGAATTAAATACAACTAAACAGGGCTTCCTAAGATTTTCTTGGCATGGAGCATCGCTTAGTTTGTTCCTGGATAGTTTTGATGACGCCAGACAAATCTTGCTTCATGCTGACTTACCTGTTCTTGCTCAGGATGGTCCCCAAGTAGTCTTTCTATCATCTGACTGATTTTACTAAATGTCGGACGCTCTGTAGGCTCCAAGTTCCAGCACATCTTCATGATCATGTAGCTGAAACAAAAAGTGAACCGTAGTTTGAAAACAAAATTCCTTCAAGGACAAAAGAAGAATAAATGGCAAACATTGTCTTTATCCCCACAGCTGTGTGCTCTTGTGTGTTATAAAACCAAATCAGCCAAATAAGGAGAGACTCATGGACCTTGGTGACGCAGTTTGATAAGAGAGACTTGTTCATAAGAAGCCCTGTCCCTCCAGTCTCATTTGGCTGCCATGAAATAGCATTTACATGGCTTCCTAGCTTTGAGATCATGTGGCTAACAGGCAGAACTGTGGCCTGACTCACAGCAGAACAACGGATGATTAGACCCTGACTCAGACTCAGTCCCTCCATTTCCACAGCACAATTATTCCAGGCGGTGTGACAGCCATGGCAAATCAGCACACACAGATGCTCTGGCTGTCTGAGGCACTGGGAAAAACACTCTCTTTATTTTTCTCATTTCAGAGTTTTGGCTTGTTAAATTTAGAGTTTGGAGTTGGAAGATAACCCAAAGCAAGTAAATTAAAAATCAGAAAGAATGGAGGGGCTTCATGAGGTTACTTCATGTGTCAGCTATTGCAGATGTTAGATAGAACCGGAAGACTGCAGAAGAAAAAAAAGGGTCTTTGTTCAGCGGGGAAGAACATTTGGGAAGCATGTTGTCTGATGTTGGAGTCAACTCAGGATCAACTATTTTGGGAAATCCATCTTGTTAAAGCTTATATTCAATTAAGTATGTGTAGTCAAAAGTCACTGCATGTAGTCAGATGGTCCAAACGGTTTGCAAACCTAACCACAGCCTTACTGTTCTCAATGCCTTTCCAGCTGATAAAAATCAACTATTGCTATTTTCTCAATTGTAAAAACCCTGCTGATAGTCACTTGATACTTCAATAAAACTCACTGATGATGCCTGAGCACGGCAAAAGCAGAGGCGTGTGTGTAATACATGAAGTGAATAGTAAATCAGGGTGCATGCTGCTGAAGTGTCACGCATACATCTCAGGTGGAGCAAAGTCTGGTTGGCACATCTGGTAGCCGCGCTTCACCATCTTGTAGAACCTGGAGTCCACAGCCATGCTTGGGTAGGGGCTCTTGCCTAAATGAAGATAATATACTGATATTTTCTGGGAGCAAATCAGGAAATAAACGTAAGTCAGTGGAGGGTACATGTGCATACGTTCTGACCTAAAGAGAAGATCTCCCACAAAAGGATGCCGTAGGACCAGACATCACTCTGGACAGTGTAGATGCAGTCAAAGATGCTCTCTGGAGCCATCCACTTCACTGGCAGACGTGCCTTCACACACACAGTGTTGATTTTTTAAAATCATATTTATCTCATGTGATACAAACAATAGTTGGTTCCATTCTACTCCACTTACATTGCCCTTTACCACATAGTTGGAGTCATTCATGATGTCCCGCGCCAAGCCAAAGTCGCAAATCTTCGCTTCTCTGTGGTTGGTGAGAAGGACATTCCTAGCAGCAACGTCTCTGTGAATACACTGCACACACACTGACACAGTTTGTTTCAGTTTTTAAAGTTTTATGCAGTTGAAAACAATAAGTAAATATGTTAATGTAGCGTGAAAGATCAGTGATCAACTACCAATGGCAAATACCCCGTATCACCCACACACAAGTGATTTCACACCCCTCACTGACCAAATTCTATTAAAAATAATACTTCTACTAAATGTTTTTTTTGTTTTTCAGCAGAATGTGGTTGTTTGTCTCTGATATTTTGTGTGATCATATCTGGGTGAGACACAGCAACCCGCTGGTAAAGTGATAAAATCACTCACATTTTTGGCTGCTAAAAAGTCGAGGCCCTGAGCTACTTGAAAGGAAAACCTCAACAAGTCATCGATGTCCAGCGGCCAATCACCAGTCTCCTCCTTGCACACAAAGTCTAGTCAAGAATCAGATAGAAACAGGGTCAGTAAGTGAAAAGGCCAATGGTTTTTCTCAGCATGCCACTGTATGCGATGAACTGAACTTCTGTGAGTTTACCTCGAGATGATTCTGTGTTTGGCAGCTGACTGGGTCTCATCTCTAAGTAACTGCTCGAGGATTCACTGGAGATCCCACTGTCACTGTCAGGCAGACAAAGGCATGAAGTGTGGCACAGAACTGGGTATCAACAGACAGGTAACAGTGACCGTATAGCTTTCACGTATGATCTATCATTAAGCCGCGTGTGTGGTGACGTACCTCCTAATGAACTGCCTCTCATTGCAGATGTTCTTGTAGTCATTAGCGTGCTCTGTCACTTCGGGAATATTCATGACAAAGTTTACAAACGTCTCTGCCTTCTGGCGAAGGAAGTTCAGGAGATCACCGAGACTGCAGTACTCAGTGATTACAAGCACTGGTCCTGATGGAGAAACGCACCATGTTATGATCTTTTCGACGTGCTTGCATGCAAATTACTGAGACTAGATTTTCCTCGAGCTGGATGAACTTTGGCAAACATGTTTTTACAGTGTTTTTACTTCTATGCTGTCTGACCTCCATAGGTGCAGGCTCCAAGCAGATTGACAATGTTCTGGTGGTGTCCCAGGTGGCTGAGGATCTTCAGTTCAGACATGAGAGCCTCCCTCTCGTCTGAATGGGCACTAGCTGCTGAAACAATACCGACTCATCAAACTGATGACATGAGATAAAAACAATGTTTGTGTCGTGATGTTCGAAAACCGCATGTATTTTTTTTTCTCAGTATCGTAAACACTTTTAGATTTGCCAGTCAGTCTGACCTGATCATGCAAACAACAATCTCTTTGTTAAGTTATGATCTTAACCTTTCAGCATTTTCACAGCCACACGCAACACATTGTCTTCCTTTCCAAGGCCGTAGGCTGTGGCTTCAACCACCTTTCCAAATGCTCCTGCCCCCAGGATCTTCCCTGTTTGGAACACACAAAAAAAGAAGACACAGAGAAAGCATTTAAGCGCAAACTGGTCTATAAAAGCATGAGTGAGAGACAAGATGGAAAAATGTGTTGCTCACCTAGTTTGAGCTTGTCTCTGGGGAACTCCCACTTCTCATTGTAGGGCAGCTGAGTGGGGTCAATGAAGGTGTAGTTGTTGCCATCTCTTGCCTCGATGATCTTCCAACGGATCTCATACCTGGGTTTCTGAGAAGCAAAGTAAAAGAGAATGGCACTAAATTAAAAAAAACTGAAAAACGCTACTGCAGCTTTTAAATCTATTTGGATGTTTAAATTATATTTTGCAACTTATTTGATGAATTTATCTTACCTGCTTGTACTTGTAGAACAGAAAAACGAGTAGCACAAGGAGGATGGTCAGAATGCCTGCTGCTCCAGTCAGAGTGGAAGTGAAAAGTTTGTCTGTCCAATCAGAGAAAGATCAGTTATTACACAATTTAATTCATGTAAAGTGAATTTGCAAGTTGATGCTCTATCGTGTCCATCTGTCGAATTTACTGCTTTAAAATGGGCACATCATCAAATGCTCACCAGCAGTGGCGTAAATACTGCCAGTGCAGGCGGTGCAATGCTTTTGTATCTTACCATACCCGCCACTGTTGCGACAGCAGAGCGCTCTTTTTCTAAGCTCAGCCTCATCAAAACATACTTGAGGAGCAGTATGGGACAGGAAAGACTTCAGCTTATTGTTTATTATGCATTGGGATCAGTGATTTGCTAACTGAGTTATCACATCTGGAACGTAAGAAAACGTTGCTTGGATTCTATGTAGAAACACTGCCCGCTGTGCCATTGATGATGAATAATGAGTGTGATCAGATGCAGTGTTTTCATCCATTCATACTGAGGCAGTGACAGAAAAAATGGCCCTTGCACTGGAGACATGCAGCCGCGCCAGGTAAACTGTACATCTGTATAAAACGTTTTTGAAATAACAATCAAACACAAAATTATTTCTTTTTTTCTTATTTGTATTTAGTTTAATTTGATTAATTCATTATAATAATCTGCAGCTCTTCTGGCATTTGCCCGATCAACCAGATTACTTGAATTCAAAGCGGTGTGATGGAGTGAGGGAGGGGCCAAAAACATTTTTGCACCGGGGCCCATCATGACTGTGTTACGCTACTGCTCACCAGACACCTCCATGGCAAAAGTGTCGCTGCTGACACCGGCAACGTTGAAGGCCACGCACTCAACCGTCATCCTCCGGCTGGAAGGTCCCACAGTCAGGACGCTCTCCACCTCCACGGCGCCGTACTCCTCCCTCTGGACCTCCACTGTGGGGGCCTGGAGAGGAATTGCCATCTGCAGCCCTGTGGTGTTCTCATTGCACCTGCCTCATCACAACATATACACAGTTAGAGAAAGAAAAAAAAAAAGCTTCCAGGAACATGGAGCTTTTGTTTCTAATGTATAATGTTCTGGGTGAAAGTATTAACCGAATTATCGCAGATTAAAGTCAAACAGGGGACAAAGATCAAGTGAGCTCTTTCCTGTGCAGCTAAACTTACGTGGGTCGTATTCCAAAACACTGATACCAGATGATTCTGGGGGCTGGATAGCCAAATGAGGTGCAAGTCAGAGTGGTTACATTTTCCCATCTCACCACAGCAACAGGTCTCTCTGCCCGTGAAAAAAAGAGGGAAAAGTTTAGACTAAACTAAACACTAATGCATGTGTAAAATGCTTTGGTTTGTGTTTATTGTGTCACTTACGGTACATTTGGACTTGAAAAGTGATAGATGCATTGGTCAGTTCACTTCTAGCATAGAAGGTGTACTGGCCCTGCTCCTGTATATTCATTCTCTTCAGCTGCAGGGTAGCATGGTATCTAAAAACAAAGAGAAAAAAAACCCAAATGGATTTTTAAACTGAGAAAAAGAGGAATGAGTACAGAATTAGACGTGACTAATTCTGTGGTTTGAATTCAGACAGTTCCTATGTATCATCCCCGAGTACATCGACAAAATTAAAAAGAGAACTCCACTCTTCCTTCCAGCAGTTTCATGACCTGAGAAAATATAATGACCTTGGTGTTCCTTGTCAAATTCACCAGAAATGCACCGACAGCACATTTTCAAATGCAAAGCAGCTTCCCCTTCCTGTTGTAGACTTTATTTTTGTGCTTTTCTAACTGTACGGCTGAGACCCTTGAACAGAAAGTCAGACACTGTTAAAGCTTCTTTTAACCCTTCATAGGGCGCTCCTTGAAATACTTGGAAAATGAAGATTTCAACCCTAGGGTGTTATCAAAGGATATTTCAAGATATTTTTGACTTTTGTGACTTTAAAACAAAAAAAATAAAGTGTTGCAAATCACGATGAATAATGTTACCATATACGGTAACTCATAATAAATAAAGTAACAAACTTCAAAAAAACATTTAAAAACATTTTAGTTTGAGGTAATGATACTTAACCAGTAATAAAGTATTTATAAAGTGCTTGGCAGGTTCATGTAGTAACATTTTTCTTGGTATTGGCACTAATCTTAAAAAATAAATCAAGGGGGAGTTCAATGCAAACCAGTAACAAAGCGTTTATAAAATGCCCGGAACATTTGTTTAGTGACTTTTTTTTTGTAAGTTGTGATACTGGCACTAATATAAAAACTAAATCAAAGTTCACATGGTTCTTCAACCTCAAGAAGAGGCACAGGGTGGACATATTGAAGGAAGTTACCCAATATAGTCACTTGCCCCATGAAGGGTTAAATTGAACTACTTCCATTTAGTCAACCTTTTTATTGGTACCAAGGTCTTGTTCTTGTACCTGTTGTTGTATCGGATGAACTTGTGCTCCTGTGTGGATGTGTTGGGAGATGTCGGGGTGTGCCATCTGTGCTCTGTAATGTGAGGGTACGCTTCGATGAGCACGCTTAGCTCCAGATCTTCTCCCTCGTTCACCTCAACTGAAAGACCCTGGTGAGCCAGTTTAGGTGACAGCTGAGGTAACAGCCTGATGTAGGGCTTGTCTGTTCAGAAAAATTAAGACATACTTGTAGTTTGTTGCCACCCGTCAGTGTTCAGTACCGTAAATGTTTCAGGTTGTAGGTGTAGGTGTTGTGGTTTTGTTGTGACTTACCCACAACCAGCAGGTATGTGGTTGAACTGTTCACCCCTGCTTCATTAGTGCCGATGCATGAGATGTTTCCAGTGTCTGCGAGGTCAACAGCAGAGATGGTCAGTATGCTCTGTATGTCCAGTCGATTTTCTCCACTGGAGCGAACTCTCTCTTCTATTATTGGTTTCTGAAGACAAAAAGACAGAAAGTCTGAGTTAAAATCACGATTACCACCACAGTCAGACCTCTAAAAGCACCATTTACGGACCGATTTGGTGGTGTATCTCCAGGTGACGTTATAGTTGAAGTTGGGGTTGTGTGTTGTGCAGCGAATCTTGAGTTCTTGTCCAACAATGCGTATGTATTCATCTGTCTCCAAGAAGACATATGGAGGGAAACGAAGTTCTAGAGAAAAAAGAAATCACATGTGAGTGTCAAAATGACTCTGTGAAGGCCTTTGGTAACTAATTTCTCGCAGCTGAGTGGACTCACTCTGAATGACGTTGATGGAAAAGGCCTTGGAGATACTCTCCACTCCATTGACTTTGGCTGTGCAAACGTAGTCAGCGTTAAAGCTCGGATGGAGACCATGGATGAGAATACCACGGTGTTTGTAGACAGTGAAGTTCATTCCTGGTGGCACAGTGGTTCCATTGTCCATACGGAGACCCAGATCTGTGGCTGTGGGGTCAGTCAGTAGGCAGGGCAGCAGGTAGTCCTCACCCTCCTTCCTCACCACCCGCAGGGACGTGCTGCTGGTCCAGAACAACCGGTTTGGATCTAAAGGAGGGAGAACATTTATTAGGTAATAAAGAGAAAGACCAATCTGAGATGTACACAGAGGAAATCTGCATCAGTCACAGAGAGGTTTGACTGTAGACATTGATCCATCCAAAGCTCTTACAAATCAACAGATCCTCCAAGAATATGACCATTCATCCAAACGTACCTTTTACATACACATGCACGGAGGAGGTCAGCTCACGATGTTGTGACCCAGCAATGTAAAAACACTTGTATGTTCCAGTGAACTCTGCAGTGGGACGCTCCACCTTCAAGACGCAGGCGTTCCTATTGCTCCTGGACACGTAGCGTCTGTGCTTGGACAGCCTGGTTTGCCAGTTAACAGGCCCGTCACCCTCACACCTCAGATCCAGGGGGACCCCAGGTCCCACCACCACCTCAGAGCTCCCCACCACCTTAGAGTTGAACCTGATCACTGGACGGCTCAATTCGGCTGAAACGGGAACAGTTGATGAACTAATTAATCCATTTACAGTTTGTTTTTTTTTGGCAGTGAAAAAACATAGAAAGAATGAGTGAGAACAACTGAATCCAAACAGACGCTGTTGCTGACACTGTCTCTGTTGTGTTGTTTCTCCTTGATAATTGAAGACTTTGTTTTGGTAATTTGATCGTCTTGTCTGTTTCATGGGTCAGATTTAGTTTGAAAGCAATTTCATGAATTCAGGAAACAGACTGAAGACTCTGGACCCTGAAAACATCTCTCTATACTTCTCACTTCTACTTTCGCTATGTGTCTGTCCCGACACTGGAGATGTAAAAAGTGTAATCATCGAAAGCTTTAAATCTGCTTCAGTTGTATTCTTACTGAGACTCTCTAAAAGAGGACACATCCAAAAATGTTAAACATCAGAATCAGAATCAGAAACAGGTTTATTGTCAGGTATAGTTTACACAATACAAGGAATTTGTTATGGTGATAAAGCGTATAATAATATAGAAAAAAAGAAAAAAAAACAGAAGATGTAAATATAAATATTTTAAAAAAACAGTAAAACACTGCAACAGTGCAAATAGTGCAAAACAGTAGCAAAGGAAATAATCTCTCAAAGACATCCTCGAGGATGAAACTGCTAAAAAGGATTTTAACCGTTGGGGGAATAATTAAGGAAGTTTTTACTATAAAGAACAGTGCCCTCTTTGACGGCTTTGCTGGGAATCTGGAAGTTTGGAAACACTACGTTGCATTCAAAGTTTATGTGGTTTGCGTTTGTGAAAATTACTGACACGAGAGAGACAGAAATGCAGTTCCTGCCTGAAGCTTTGTCTCATTTAGCTTTGTGTCTGTACTTCCAGTAGAGATTATTAAAGTTTCCATGTAGTCTTCAGGACAGTTTGGGTTGAATCCTGAAGCAGAACTGAGATTCCATGATCAGCATTTTTTTCCATTCACCACAGCACACAATATACCTCAGAGAAACAAAATTTCATTTCAGGCTGATCAGCACTTCAGCTCTGAACCTCCTGATTGTCTGTGTAAACACTTACCTTTCCCATTGAGTTCAACCATCTAAATGAACTATTCATCGAGGCTCTAAATGACTCCAGTTATACCGTAATATGCAGTAATCCACCAGAAAGCATAGCTAATTCATTTACTCACAATCAGGCCAAACAACACTAACTGCTATATGTTAAAATGCTAATACGTGAAATTGCAATTTGATGTCTGGTGGTAGATAACCATATATGTAGTGTTTAGAGGCAAATAAAAATAGGGGGAAATGAAAAGAAAACACAAAATCACCAAGAAAAAAAAAACCCCTAAACAACTCATGATGCACATGGCAATTGTCACGCTCATTAGAAACAGCAGTGTGTCAGATCTGTGCACCGACCACGAGTGTATGCCATGAAAATGAAATAAGTTAGTTATGGTGTAGACAAACATGTCATTTAAAAATGTAAACTGGCTGAAACTGGATTACAGTAACCAAACTTTTTAGAGCTTTACACATGTTTAACCTACATGCTGTCAGATTTTTAACCTTTAAAGTCAACAAGACGATTAAGAAACACTTGTGTAAGCTTTGCCTTTTGTTTCAGTTCACGTTGTGCATTACACATTTAAGTAGCTGGCAAAGAAAGAATAAAAACAAACTTGAGTTAAAACAAAACAAACAAAAAAAAAGCTCACAGAAACTGTAGTTTCTACAACTGTTTGTTGAGCCTTACCTGAAAAAGCAGAGGCCACAATGCCCAGCAACAGCACGCGGTAGGACTGCATCCTGCATCAACTCCAAACTTGTAGTTTGAAGACTGACACTCGCGTGTGCTACAAAACACTGCCTGTTTGATTGTGATGAGAGAAATGAGAAAAACCCCCTCAGAAGTTGTGCTATCACTCAGTCCCATCTTTGACTTCTCTTTTTTTTTTTCTTTTTTTTTTGACCGGTCAGAGCAGTGTTGCCAAGAGGAATGAATCTAAACTGAACAAAAATCTTTGTTTATAATCTCTATGTATGTGTACATTGAAATCAATAAACAAGCTGGATATGAAATGCTTGGTCTAAGTATTTAACGGTAACATTTAGCAACTTAAAAAGACACAACAGCTGGATTATACATCAGGGAAGCATCACTAATTTATTTCAGATGTACTCACCTGTCGATCAAGTCTTCAGCTTGACAAAAAGATATAATAACCTCCTTGGGTTGGAAGTTTCCAGCATCCAGAGATGACCCAAGAGTCCCTTCTTCCCTGTTTGCCTCTGCCCTTCTTCTCCTTTCTGCTTGTTTACAGTTGCTTCGCCACAGAAGTCACACAGCAAGCAAGTGGTGGAGGGTGGAGTGGAGGGAGCTGTGTGTGTGTGTGTGTGTGTGTGTGTGTGTGTGTGTGTGTGTGTGTGTGTGTGTGTGTAGAGTGAGGGCAGATCAGCACATCACGCTTAACAAATTAATGAACCAGTGCCAATTTGCCTTCGAACAGAGCAATACTCACAAGACATCAGTCGAGGTGAGACTAATCAACTGCATCCATGTTGAAACCATGGCTGCTGGGCTTTTCTGGCTGCAAAACCGTGAACAAGTGGGAGAAGAAAGGACAGTCTAAGGCCTCTTCGACATCTGACCCAGTAAGCATAGAAAAACACTAAGAGATTTTAAAGTGTAGAGTGAGAGAGGTCATTGGGGATGTATGGTAAATAGGACGTGTTCTGAGTAGGACTTCACATAATGAGAGCAGTTTCTTCAAATTAAGTTAAAGTAAGATCCACGATGTGTAGTATGGTTTTATTGTATATTAGTTGCTCCACCAGGAAGTGTTTTCAACCAGCATTACCTTTTTAATGCTTAGTGTCAGTGTTTTTGTGCAAACAGCAGACGCTGAAGGATCCACGTGACACATAAAAGACCTCAAGTACGCAGAAATACTACAATAATACTCATTTATTGTCACATTTACAACATATAAAATGACACATATAAAAAATACATTTGTAAACGTTAAGAAGAGCTTTGGTACCATAGCTTGTGATACAGTGATGTTGTGCATTTTACAATGTAGTAACAAACGCTACAAGAAATGTGCTGTTTTTAAATGGTGGACTAAGTATTGAAAGTAAAAAAAAAAAAAAAACACAGTGTAAGTGAATGCAATCCAAAGCAACAGAAGACTAAATGTATTGTTTTTGCATTACTTGAGTACAGTAGCCCTTCATGTTGGCAAGCAACAACAGCTGCAAAACAAGACGCAGTCTATACAAAGGCACTCATGTGTGCCATCTTGTGCTAAGGCAGTGAGACGCTGTATTTATTAATTTCACTCGAGAGAGTCACCTGTCTTCACAGAAACTGGACATCATAGCTGCTCGAACAGCCTCATTTATAGGTCAGATGCTCTAATAATTCTCAATTGTAGCTTTCTATCGTTCACATAGTGTAAGTTTACATCTTAATATCCACATATTTTTTCTATATAAAGTGCAGATCTGGCACAGAACTAAGAATTAAGCCTACACAAAACAAGTATTCAAAATTCAACATCCCATTTGAAATTCACAAATAAAAATACTGACACATGTGGCATATGAAACTAAAAGGAAACTATATCTCACATTAAAACAGTGCATGTGGAATTTGTCTGCATTTCAGGTCCTGGAAATAACATTTTACAAAACTGTTATAATACAGTGAAAACAGGCGTTGATTGTACCCAAGAAAAGGAAAAAAACAAACAAACAAACAAAAAACAAATTCAATTGAATTCATAACATTGTATATCTGATCTAGGTTTAGGACATAATGTTCCCGCTTTCACAGGAAGTGTCTTGTTTGGGAAATATTTCGTTTTTACATTCAAAGGTAGTTTTCTAGTTGGTTTTGATTGTTGTGTTCATCATTTTGATGTCGATTCAGTTTCTAACATTTTATATCTGATCACGGTTGAGGACGTAATGTTCCTGCTTGTACAAGAAGTGTTCTTGTTTAGGAACTATTTTGTTTTGACTTGAAAAAGTTGGTTTCAAGTTTGTTTTGATTGTTGCAGTCATCATTTTGCATTTTTAAAAATACAAAAACAAACAAAAAAACAACAACAACAAAAAAATCCACTTTTCAAAGATCTCATTTGCCTGTGAACAATAAAAGTGGGGATTCAGTAATAATAACCAAAAAAGGCACATGGATACATAGATGTATCTAAATAGAAAATGTCTAGCTAAAATGGAAAATACAGTAAATTTGTCACTACTTACTGTAAGCTGACTGTGCAGGAGTGTGAGTACCGCATTTATATAATGGCAAGCTTTCAAAAAAGACTGAAAAATAGCATTATATTAATTATTTGTAACTGTTTGTAAAACCTCAAAGAGGGCGAATGTTTTTAAGTGCCTGGTGGAAATACAGAGATTTGCCCCCTTAGTCTTAGTTTTGCTACATTTTCATTAGTCATGTTCCCTTTTTTAGGCATGTTACAAAACAAAAGAAAAAGAAAAAAGAATCCCAGGTAGGGGCTCTGTTTTCTCAGGATTTATACTTGTGGCTACAGAAAGCTGTCTTCTACCTCGGGCGTCCCGGAAGAGCCCAGCAGAGCGTCTCTTTCGCTGGTGTCCTCCAGCCTGTCCTCCTCTGGGAGGGTGTCAGCTGTGTCCTGAGACATGGAGTCAGTCTCCTCCTCCAGAGCAAGAGAGCTGAGAAGAGAACAAACACACACTTCACTCTGTGCACTCAGTCACATTTACGTCACAGAGAGACATGTCTTACTGCGGTGCTGTATTGCTGTGGTCTTATAGTAGTGATCTTGGTTCTTCATCGCCCCTTCAGCAACCACTAGTCATATTTTTATCTTAAAAGTGTAATTTCTTGCCTATTCTGAGAACAAAGTAGACATCTTTTAATTTAAAGGATTATCACTGAGTTATTTAATTAGTTCTTGTTGCACTTCTGCATGTGCACATGTGCACTAAACAACTGGGACTCGTAAGGGTTCTTTCAAAGTGATCCGATGTGCTTTTTTTTCCCCATTAGCAATCGATAATTCACTTTCTAATATGTAGAACTCCTTATTTGTAATTAGCTGTTACGGCCCCTGGTGTTTGTGCCGTCTTGTATTGTGCTGGATCCCTTGTGGCCTCTGTGTAGGGAGAGGAGCAGCATGAACACTGGCAGCTGACTGGAGAGCCTGCTCAGGACCCAGCTCGTCATTGCAGCTGATTAGCCTGGAGCTCCAGATCTGTTGTTCTCTCCACCTGCCGTTCCTGATTGGACCACCACCCAGTTCCCTCTTCCCTCAGCCAATCCAACTGCAGCAATCAACACACCTGGATTATAAATCCACGACCAACCTCACAGTCAGGGCGGCTGGGATTTAATGTGAACAGTTCGCCCTGGTGCCTCTCATGTCCCTGTCATTGTGTTTTGTGTGTCTGGGGTGCTGCCAACTTGGGCCCCGTTTACAGCTTTTTTTCCCCGTTTACACGTAAACGAAGCTACAAGTCACTGAAAATGATCATATCTGAAGACTCCAGCCACAGTGGAGATTTGGAAAAACTCTGTCTTTACGTTTGCATGTAGACAGGAGGAGACGGAGTTTGACGTCATAGTATGCAACAAATCAGCATCGTTTACGGTTTGGCTACTGTGATAGAAATGGATGCAGTTAAAGTAGTGCTTGTTTCTACGTTTGTGCAAACGCTTTTGGCCTATTTGCATTTACATTCAGAGTAGAATGATCGCTCTGTTGGTCCAACCAAATGACCCTTGCGCCATTATCGCTGAAGTAACAGGAAGTAATTCGTGCCATTCGTTGTTGTTTTTTTCCAGGATTCTGATTGGCTAGCATGTCTTTATGCTTCTCGTTACACTGCCCCCTATGGGTTTGGCATGCTCATTGCAGCTCTTAATGACATGTTTATGTGGGTTTTTGTAAACAAAGATTTTTTTTGAAAACGATCTGGTGTGAACAATGTTATTTTTGAAAACATAGATCCATTTTTGTAAATACCCGACTATGTATAAACGTGGCCTTAGTGTGGAAGTTACCTGGGTCTTGGTGAAGACTGTAGCTTCAGTTAGCAGCTGTCCAACTTACTCATGTCTTGTGTTTTTTGTGAAGTGTGTTTTGAGGCACGTGTTTGTTTAGTTTTTGTTGGTTGTGGGTGTTGCTATTGTATTTAAGTTTGGCTAAGGAGTTCTGTTGTTTTGGTTGAACTAGCTTTTGCAACTCTGTTAGCCTTTGTTTGGTTTTATTTGGTTCTTTGATTTAGCAGCACCCATTAGCCCGGTATTGTTGCAGTTTTTTTGTGAGTGTTCATTACTTTACTGAGCAATAAATTTCTGTTCCTCCACCAACAACAGCTGGTTTTTTTTGTTACATCCAGCTGACCCTAGAGGCTGGATGGTACAGCAGCTTTTACCCAACACCCCCTGTTTACCTTTCACTGTTGCAACAAATGTAATAAATCATTTTGATGATCATGTAAGTAATAGTTTGGTTTGTAAAATGTACAAAAATAGTGAAAATGCCCTTTTAGAATTCCCTACATGCCAAGTTGCCACCTATTTTGTCCACTAACAGTCACGGCATTCAGCACAACCAGTTCATCATCACATAACACAAACAAAAGCACAACAGTCCTAACTTTAGAAGCTACTAACCAAGAAATATGATTTGATCAACTGAAGTCCAAAAAAGATTTGTCAACTATCAAAATTTCCAGTTGATCTTCTACGAATCAATTAAATGATACACAACTATTACAAAAGTCACTGCTGAATAACATTTTGTCTACTGGGTCACATGGTGGATAGTTCTTAGTTTATTTCAGTACCACTCTGCCAGATATGTGTGATCTTCTTGGAAATCAATCTGTGACCCTCCACCAATAGCTTGTCTTTGTTTTCTTTTACAAGTGAACTACAGATCCTTTAACCACAATGTTAAAGGTAGAATTTGTGAGTCGAATATAAGCAAAAGAATTGCACCACTGTCAAAACTCAAAACACTGGTTTGGACACTGCATCAGTCCAAACTGAATGACAGCTATTTCAGTCCAAAAAAAAAAATACAGGACCTTTGTCTAAGTTCATAATAAATTATGAAAGAAAAAGAAAAAAAACTCTTTGAGAACATATATAAATATACTACAATTTACGTGGTTAATTCTTGTTTAAAGCCTTTTCTTTTCTGCGTGTTTATACATGCTATAAAAACACACCTCCATGTCCGTCTGCATAATACAGCTATTGTCTCAGCTCAACATCTGGATGAGTGGGTGTGAGGTGGGAAAAAAAAAAAAACTGCTCTCTTTAAGCAAATACATATCCTTCTTTCTTCTGCATATACCACACATCTGCAGCATCTTTTCAGTGGCCTCGTACCTTGCAGGGCTTTCTGACGGCACATCAGTAAAAACCTCCTCCGGCTTTGGGTCTGGGATGGGAATGATGTATTCGTTGTATGAAGCCATGACCTCCTGTGTGTCTGCCTCACGCCTGAAGTCTCCAGGCCTCGGGCTCTGACTGTAGGGATCCGGGGGGGAGGAGAGGGTGATGGGAGACGGGGAGCCAAATGCTGGGTTGGCAATGGGAAAGGGTGAGGAGAGTCTGGGTTTGGTGCGGGCGACTGCGGGGTGATCACTCTTCAGGAAGTTGTCGTTGACTTGGCTGTATTTCTGTTGTCAGAAGAGATTTAATTAGCAGAGTATTGAGACATTAAAGTGTCTGATAAGCTTGTAAGTTGAGTTATGACTATTTGAACTAGATCAGCTTCTGCACGTCATATGTGTGGAGTGGATGTGTCTCCTATTGATTTTCATGGTTTCCAATCAACAAGGCTTGAATAGAGATTAAACAAGAGCAAAGTAAGGAGCTGCTGTCCAAAATAATCATACTTTTTCAACAAGCATAGCAAAATAAACTACATATACAGTTGAAACCAGAAGTTTACATACACTGTATAAAAAGACATATAACCTTTTCTTTCTCACTGTTTAACTTTAAATCAGACTAAACGGTTCCTGTTTTAGATAATTTAGGATTACCAATATTATTTCTACTTGCTAAATGCCAGAATAATGAGAGAGAGAGAGAACTTCTGAGACATTTTGTTTATTACTTTCTTCAAATTTAGAAGTTTACATACACTAAGATGACTGTGCCTTTAAACTATTGGGGAAAGCCCAGATGATGATGTCATGGCTTTGGAAGCTTTTCATAGGTTAACTGACAACATTTGAGTTAATTGGAGGCGCACCTATGGATGTATTTTAAGGCACAACTCATGCATCATGTTGTGGGGGTGTTTTGCTGGGACTGATGCACTTCACAAAATAGATGGCATCATGAGGAAGAAACATTAAGTGGAAATATTGAATCAACATCTCAAGACATCAGCCAGGAAGTTAAAGCTTGAGCACAAATGTGTCTTCCAAATGGACAATGACCCTAAGCATACCACCACATTAGTTACAAAGTGGCTTAAGGACAACAAAGGCAATGTTGTGGAGTGGCCATCACAAAGCCCTGATCTCAATCCTGTAGAAAATTTGTGGGCAGAGCTGAAAAGGTGTGTGGAGCAAGAAGGCCAACAAACCTGACTCAGTTACACCAGTTCTGTCAGGAGGAATGGGCCAAAATTATATCAAACTATTGTGAGAAGCTTGTGGAAGGAAACCCAAAACATTTGACCCAAGTCATACAGTTTAAAGGCAATGCTACCAAATATTAAGGAAATGTATGTAAACTTCTGACTTTGAAGAAAGTTAAAAAAAAAAAAAAAAAAAAAAAAAAGGTCTCTGTCATTTTTCTGGCATTTAGCAAATAGAAATAATTTTGGTAATCCTAACTGACCTAAAACAGGCAAAGTTTAGTCTGATTTAATGTCAGATAATGAGAAAAAAAAGTTACATGTTAATGCTTTTAATACAGTGTTTGTAAACTTCTGGTTTCGACTGTATATTGTTTGCTTTATGGTTGTCTAGTTTTATGGTATAAAAATCCTTTTTGGTGAACTTGTTTTTTCCCTTTAATTTACAAAACAGTTGAAGAAAAAAACTACATATTTTTTACATAAAATTTGAAGCCGCAAAGAAACTAATAACTATATCTGTCAAATGAGTTCAGTTGATTAAAAAGTGTAGTGTTTCTAATTGAATCTTGACAAGTATATTTTAAAAAGAATGTAATGGAAATACTGCAATGAAGATCTTTTTAAGTGTTTGAATGATTTCCAACAAGTCACTAGGAAACATTATTAGAAAACCTTTTTATAAGCGTCAGTCAGCATGTTCCCCACACTGTGGACCAGGAAGGAGAACTCGGGCCTCTTCTCAAACTTTTCGTCCCAGCACTTCTTCATGATTTCATAACTGCAATAAAAGAAACATAAAATTAACTAATATCTTATTTTTCTTGGTGGCCATGACTAGTTGCTGGAAAAGCAGCAACATTGCAGGGTGACAGAGAGACTCACACTTCATCAGAGGCATGGGCGGGTTTGGCCATTCGGTAGCCTCTCTTCAAAGCACTGTAGAATAATTCATTCATGGGCAAATCAGGGTAGGGGGTTCCTCCTGTAAAAAAAAACATTTTGAATAATTTCAAAACATAGAAATCAGAACTTGTGCACAGGCTAGAAATCCAAGTTAGATCTCAATATTAGACAGATCTATCCTACACTAAGACAATAATCATCACTTTCCAAGAGGGCCATCCAAGAAGACTAACTGATCATCCGATCTGCTTTTGTTGTGTAATATAGTAGTTGTTCTGACCCACATCTGAAAAAAAAAACTGGAACCAAGAATTCCAATGAATGTCAAATCGAGACAGGGAAACACAGAGAATCTTTGGTTATCACATACAGAGGGAGGATTGTGAATTTGTTTTTCACCACTCAGGCTTAAGTCACATATGCTTTAAAGTGTTCTCTCAGCTTTCATGGTAATTTCAAAACATCATGGGAAGGGTGTTTTCCAGAAAGAGATTTTGTTTGATTTCTGTTGCGAACAAAGTTGTGTATACTTGCAAACAGACATTGAGTTTAAATTTTTATATAACATTGCATATTCTCATTTTAGACACTTGGATATATACTTTTACAACTGAAAGTTTGACATAAAAAAAAATGTGGAAGGAGTCCAGGAGAAAGCAGGTCAAAGTTGTTCAGAACCATGTGATCTGTGTAATCAGTTACAGAAGATGAATCCCTTGCACAGTATGCAGTTTGTGAGTTACACTTTGTGTGTTTATGTGTGTAAATGTGTGTTTGCTTGGACTGACCTAGTGTGAAAATTTCCCAAAGAAGAATGCCGTATGACCACACATCACTCAGGGTGGTGTACAAATTATGGAAAATGCTTTCTGGTGCCATCCACTTCAGGGGCAGGAAGGTCTAAATGAGAGGGGAAAAAAAACAGGCCATCTTAGGAAATAAAGAGCCATTTAGAAACCTTTTACAGTGAGCAGGGTGAAAAGTTTAAAGGTCTCATTGTAGATGGAAGTTGGTTTTGGGCTACAAGGGCATTCAGACTCAGTGAACTCTTTTCTCATAATTGGTCTGCGTCACGATTTTACTACTTACGCTGCCTTTAGAGATGTAGTTGGAATCATGCATGATGTCTCTGGCCAGGCCAAAGTCACAAATCTTCACCAGCTTGCCCTCACAGATCAACACATTCCTGGCAGCCAGGTCCCGATGGACGCACTGTGGTGAGTAAAGGTAAAAGAATGGAAATGATGTGCCAGACTTTATCTTGAGGCTGCCACACAAACAGACACATGCAACATGAAGCCACAAATTGTTGTCTTTCCACTTAAGTTTTGGTATGGATTAAACAAAAGAGACTTTACATAACAGGTGGATTTACCTTTGGAGCTGTTTTCTCAGGTTCAAGCCTTTATTCTAAGCTAAACTAACCAGCCACTGGTTCTAGCTTTGTAATTATCATATACGCATTAAATCAATGTACTGTATTTCCCAAATTTTCTAAATATTTGTTTATCTAGAGTCTTGAATCACCAGCTAAACAGTGTGAAACATTCTTTTCAATATCTTACATTCTTGGAAGCGAGGAACTCCATCCCCTTTGCCACTTGGTAGCTGAAACCCAAAAGATCATCGTAGGTGAGACTGGGAGAATCGCTGATCGCCAGATCCAATCTGTTGCCACCTAAACAAGGCGACAAGGTGAGACGACAAAACAGAAGAGAAGAAAAGAGAAGAAGAGAAGGTGATGAGCATCTGATGAATAGGGACATTGTCTTGTTGCTGTGGGGAAGCTCCAGCTACCCTGTGACTGAATGGACAAAAATGAAGCTCATGCTCTTCATAGGCGTGAACATTGATCTGTATATTCTCTCTGTGATCAAAAAGCAAACTGTATTTCATTGATTTACGAAGCTAAAACAATTCATCTGTTGATGCACTGCCCTTTTTTCAAGCTCAGTGGTTAAAAGTAGTAAGTAATGCGGAGTTCCTCCCTTTTGAACAGCAAGCAGATGGCCACCTCACAACATACTCTACAAACATGCTTCTGTGCTTCCTGTGTTCATCGTGATAAAATGTTCATGCTTATTCTGTTTTATAATGCTTTAAAAATGAATTATTGGCAGTGCTTAGGAGTCAAACAAATCAAACCTTGTTCCTGATAGAGGTCCTGCTGGTAGGGGGACTCATATGGAGAAGGCTGGATGTCTGCATATTTGATGGTGTCTATCTGCTCCTGCATGGGAACGTAGACTGAGGGCTCATCTTTGCTCATGTCCATGTAGCCTCCATCACTCTCGCTTCCGAAAGACACGTAGCTGGAAGGATACGTTAAGTGTGAAAAAATGCACTGATCTGACCATCTGTGGTGCTTAATCATGTGAGACTTTATGATGAAAAAGATATTCATCTGTTGGTATGTGATAGCAGAGATTTCAATATCAATAAAACAGCTCATCACTTTACACAAAATGGTCCTTTGTGCAGCTCTGAATGAGTTTTGTTTGCTCCTCTCACCCTTTCCTCTGACTCAGAGGGGTGCTTCCTCTGGAGATGAGGCAGCTGTCGTCTTGGTTTTTCTCTGCATAATACTGCAGGAAGGTGTGTTTGTTCCTGTGCAGGTAGTCCACCAGGTCGCCATAGCGACAGTACTCAGTTATTAAGTACAGAGGGCCTGATTGGAGAACCAGAGGAAATAAGGAAGAAAAGTTTAATGTGAAGTTTTCACCCAAAAGCACTGTAAGAAGACATAAGGACATGCTTACTTTTTACTCAAACATACCGAACAAATATATAAATGAAGCATTAATCATAAAATAAAATTCTATCCATTCTTCTAAAAATACAGGAACAAGTATTTATTGTTCTAATAAACCATCTCTACAACATTTTGGAATCACACAACTAAATACACACTTTACTGGAAATGATAACGGGCAGATCGAGGTCACGGGCCAGAAATCACAAGTCAGAAATGAGTCACAGATTTAATGAGGTTGTTGATGCTGCTTGTGAAATGTTCCTGAGCGATTCGGCAAAGCTGATGATCACTTCGTGGAGCAGAATCATCTTGACAACCAGAGCGTCATGTGGAAAATTGCCTTGTTGTACAGTGCTGGCTGAAACGATTTCTTTCATGACAAACGGTGGACACTGAAGTGCCTGAGTACGGCTTTAACCGACATTTCAGCACCCAGCAGCTAACAGCCTGTAGTCATCTTTTTCTTGGGTTATTTTAATAAAGCTGCATTTTAAGGTGGACTTTAACTGGTCACTGGTTAAAGGAGGTGGCTTGGTGGTTAGCACCGTCGCCTCGCAGCTCGAAGGAACCCCAGGATCTTTCTGCGTGGAGTTTGCACATGGGTTCTCTCCGTGTTCTCTGGCTTCCTCCCACAGTCCAAAAACATGTTGAGGTTAATTGGTGATTCTAAATTGCCCATAGGTGTGAATGTGAGTGTGCTTGGTTGTCTGTCTCTCAGTGTAGCCCTGTGATAGACTGGTGACCTGTCCAGGGTGTCCCCTGCCTTCACCCTAAGTCAGCTGGGATAGACTCCAGCCCCCGTGACTCTAGTGAGGATTAAGCGGTGTATAGATAATGGATGGATGGATGGTTAAAGGAGTGTCAGTGTGCTGGTCACAATATATGTCCTTTAAAGCCACGTCTGACTAGGATGTGGATTAACTCAGTGGATAAGAGTTTGTCAGTGGTTGAATATCTTAAAAACATTTTGTTCACAAGATGAAAACAAGAAATTGCAAGAAAATCAAATGTTTTTCTCAGTTCATCATTCAAACCATTAGCATTTGTTCCACATATTGGGCATTTTCTTTTCATTTTTAGTTTAGTTTAGTTTATTTTTTTGTCATATTTAACTATGAAAGGTACAGAATGGTCCTCCATTGCTGCTTAACTTTGCACAAGCAGGATTGAAAACCAATGTGTTGATCACGCACCCAACCAACTGAACCTTTTTATACAACTGTGTGCCATCAGTAGTATAGTTTAGAAGATGCTACAGTTACTTGAAACTCAACACTTGTTTACACTCACTATTGATAATTCAATATAAATTTAATCTATATAATGCAGAAAAGACAAAAGAAAATCTTATATGTTATTTTAGCATGAATGAAAACTCTTAGTTTGTGGACAATGTCAATTAAAACTAGATTTACCCAAAAAAAAAAAAAAAACATGGCACTAATCTGACACTGCCTTTTTTAAAAACTGCACTTCAAGCATGAATGTCAGTGGAAAGTCAAAAATTAAACAGATTTGCAGTTCCTTTCTTCAATATGTAAAAGTTGGTCACTTTTTTGTACATCACTTTTTATAAATGGTTTTGATGGCAAAAGTTAAAGAAAAAATGTAAATTAGTGGATAAAATAAGCAGCAAGCATCTCTGAGGCCTCACGTGTTGCATTTACACACACCTCAGCCAAAGCCAGTACACTTTCCATGGATATACTGGTAATGTGTGTATTACCACAGTATAGCATCAGTGCTCACCATGTTTGGTGCAAGCTCCCAGCAAGTTCACGATGTTGAGGTGAGGACCCAGGTGGCTCATGATCTTCAGCTCTGACATGAGGGCCTGAGTCTCACTCCTCCTGGCTGTAGCTGGATGAAAGAGAGAGAGAAAGATGTGTAAAAGTAGGGCAATGAGAGGTAGAACAGGAGAACTGAGAACACAGGGCACAAGATACATTGTGTTCTTGCCAAACTGCTCAGTGACCTGCGGGCTGAGGCTTGAATCAGGCTGGCGACCAAACTAAAGCTCAGCAGGCTGCAGCTCACAGGAATATGGCAGCATTGTCACAATATTTGACAGCCATGCAGGGGTCTCTATGTCGTTCTATGTCGGCTTTCTGCTGTGTTTTTACATAGCATGTCTTACATTTCAGCATTTTCACTGCCACTTTTGTGCTGGACTGAGAATGTGTGAGACCGTAAGCAGTTGCCTCGACCACTCTGCCAAACGCTCCTGATCCAAGAGTACGACCTGAAACACAAAGCAGGACAGAGTCTGAATGCAGAACACATTAGAGCTGAAAAGAAAAGAGGAGATACTCTCCTCATTAATATATTAGTGCTCGCCAATTTCTCTTGTTTTCTCAAGGAAGCTGAGATTGGAAACTTGTTCATAGCAGATTATAAAGATGGGACAGATCATTTTTCTTGAGCTGAAGTTTGCAAATGCGTGGGAAGTGTCACGTTTAAGGAGAGCAGCTGACTACCAACAGCATGTCTTTAGACATAAAAGTTTCAAAGGAGCTTTAAAAATAAAGGATTGGAGCCAATAAAACGAGTTTAACAAACTTCCTTTAGTATTCTAGGGTGGACTGTGCCCAGACGACCCAAACCACCCACAGCACTAAAGCCACCCAGTGATAGCTGCAGTTTGAGCCGTCTGTACTCAACTGAGGAACAAGCAGCCTACGGGTTGAGACAGTCAAATAAAACGTGGAGAGGACAAAGTTTAAGCCACAATTAACAATGAAGAAAGACAGGAGAACATTTTTTAGAACTGAGGATGCTGTGTTTTTTTAAATGTTGTTTTTTTTTTTAAGGACATGAGATCCTTAAAAAAATGGTCATGAAAACGGGGAGGCTGGAGCCTATCCCAGCCAACTTAGGGTGAAGACAGGAGACACCCTGCACAGGTCACCAGTCTATCACAGGGCCACACTTAGAGACAGACAACCAAGCACACTCACATTCACACCTACGGACAATTTAGAATCACCAATTAACCTCAACATGTTTTTGGACTGTGTGGAAGGAAGCTGGAGAACCTGGAGAGAACCCACACTGCACGGGGAGAACATGCAAACTCCACACAGAAAGATTCCGGTGCCCCCACCGGGACGCAAACCGGCGACCTTCTTGCTGTGAGGCAACAGTGCTTTAAGTATTTCTTTTTTTTTTTTAAAGTATTTCACATAAGTTTTGTTGCATATTATTATGAAATGCAACTACATATGGTTTAGAAAAAAATCACTACTTGACTTTTGCATCATCATTTTTTTTATGTGTGCTCGAAGGTGGGACTTTTCATGACAGCTCCAACTTTTTTTATAATTACAAATTATTCGATCCACTTGTTCAGTGTTGCAGATTGTGAATCAATGACATGATGAGAAAATAACAGTGGAATTTCTTTCTTTCTTTCTTTCTTTTTTAAATCTTTAATAGTTACTGAAATATTGCAGTTCAAAAATAGCCTCAAAGAAGTCTTGAAAATGCAACTTTTAGAATTTGATATATCAAGCTAAAACTATCACAAATACTGTTTTAAATATCCACAGTCTATCATAAAAAGTTTGAAGCAAAAGGCCCGTGAAGACTTGAGATGGAATAACCTGTTGTTGTCTTCGAGGTTCAGTGATTTAATTATCATTGCATAATTCCAAGGCTCAGTAAGTAGTTTCTCACACTTTTTAAAATCCATACACCAGTTTTCATCACTTTCCGGAGTGATCTCAGCCTTCCTTACTGCACGAGGACTCACCCAGCACCAGGTTGTCTCGAGACATTTCCCAGGCCAGGTCATAGGGAAGGTGGATGGGATCCACATAGATGTATTCATGTCCGTCCTGACTCACCGACTCGATCACCTTCCATCTGATCTCATAGCGAGGTTTCTACAAACACAAAGGGAAAAAAATTACACAAGAACAACACTTCAGTTTTTAATTGAGTAAACTTTGTATTTACAGAATAATTACAAAGCGAAAGACAAAGAAAAAGGGCAAATGTTTGTCCTACCTTCCACCATACAGCAATGAGGATGATGATAGACATGATCACGATGACCACTAAGGCGAGAACAACACCCAACACTGCCACCTGGGAGTACAGAGCTGCAACAGGCGGCATGAAACATCAGTCACAGTACAAATGATGTCAAACAGAAAACATTTAGCCACATTGTTTCGTATCCTTCATTATAAACATGTGTGCAATAATCTTCTAAATACAGTTACAGAGAGACTCATATTTTAAGTTTAGGTACAAAACACACAGTCTGCTATTTGCACTGTGTCTCTAAAGCATAAACCTTTCAGACTTTAAAACTGTGTTTGTCTATTCTGATGCAAGTACTTTAACACTGAAGTGGCGTTTTTAACGTTTGTGAGTACTTTGGAAGTTTCCCTCAACTGACACTGAAACATAAAAAAAAACTAATAAAGTTCTTCACGTGACACCTACAGCTGGACACTAGTTTGATGTCTCTTCTGTCGATGAGGCCCGCCTCGTTGCTGGTCTCACAGCGAACCGTCACCTGCTGGGGCTTCTGGAAGGTCACCTGGCTGCGCACCTGGCTGGTTTTCCGTGCTTGGCTGTAGCTCACGTTGGTCTGGATGCTCAGCACATCCGGCTCCGGCAAGAGCGGCTGCCACACCATCGTCTGATTGTTACACCTGCAGCGAGGGGGAAATCATAAGAGCCGCAGCAGTGGAGGGTAACGCAAAAGCAGACGCAGTAAATTTGCAACAAAAATAAATTTGTGTGTATGGTAAGCCCCCTAGTGTTCCCTGTGGGACACTTCAGTGATGGATGGACGCTGGTGTGACTTACTTGAGCATGCTGTCACAGCTGTACCACTGGATGGTCGGGGTCGGGACCCCCTCAGCTACACAGGTCACCAAGTGTCTCTTCCCTGGGAGATGGTGGTCGATCAGGCCTTTAATCTGGGAGGGAACTACACACAGGGGGTGCAGCGGCCATTAATCATCACTGACTCAGATATAAACAAGAATCTGTGCTCGATTTTGTTTCTAATATTTTCAAATAGTGAGGCCCACACATTGGAAATGCATAAAACACTATACAAGTTGGATCAATTTTAAGTTTCTTCTCACCTTGAACTTCCAAATCAAAGGTCACTTGCTTTGTGTCGTCTTCATTGGTGACATGGACGGCATAGAGGCCTTGCTGCTCCGTCCTCACCCTCACCAAGGTGAGAACAGTGACATATCTGAGGAACAGTAAAAAAAAAAAAAAGCAAAATGTGAGGATTTTGAAAAAATATATAACTACTCATGATCTTTTCCTCTCCCCTATTTTGTGTATCAGCTGCTAAATATTCATTGGAGAAATTCCGGATATGGATTACATCAAAGAATGATTGGCAGGAGAGGAGGCTGTAAATTTGATTAGATCTACTTTAACATGCAACAACATATTCTGCACAATTCTGCTTTCTCTTCTCCACATATTAAGTGTCTTCTAAAATGAGGGCATCTGAACTAACTTCTTCAGTCTCCAAGAAACTCAGTAGAGTGTTTAAGAAAAAGATGTATTTTTGTGTTAAGTTTACTAAAAAACATGCAGCTTCATTTGGTGTTCCTCTTTCTTATGTATGCATGTTGAGAGGCCTCATGAGATCGGGCTTTTTTTGTTTTAATATGTGTTGACCAAAATGTGAAAACATGCTGCTTTATTTGGCATTTTGTCAGAAAGACATTTACTAGCTGTGACATGGATTTTGTGTTTATGGTTCCTGTGTGATGAATGATGGAGTCCTGCCCTCTACAGAGGATCTTGTTTCTCTCTGCGGAGGCCTTATCTGGCGATGACTGACAAGAGCTCAATGCCTGTGCAGGCTGTCACCCAATCAGAGGTCCAGTGCTAATTTTAGGTTTAAACGTATCAAGGCCTATGAGGTGTTGTGCTGCTTTGAAGCATGTGATGCCAGCCAGACTGCGGATGGATGTTCTACCTTATTTCATGCTCTTGTCTGACTGCGATGGTTTTGTCTCCCCTGATGGTGGCGCCATCTTTGGTCCAGCGAATCTGAGGAGGAGGGTAGGCCTCGATCTCCACTCTCAGCTCCACGTTCTCTTGCAGCTTGGCTGAAATATTTTGATGCTGAGCAGGCTTTACGTCCACAAAACCGCGTTCTAAAAAATATAAAATACATAAACCATCAGCAACAAAACATACAATGTACCAAATGTGTCTTATTCTTATTGAATAAAAAACCTAAATTATCCACAGATTCTTGTACTAATTCTTGCTTAGTGTATTGATGCAAGTCTTTGCAAGTCCGATTTCTTTGACCTCTTGGGGACAGTCCAATCAATCTGTTAACACGTATTATCACATTTGAACTGATATAGTAAGTTTGTATAAAGTTGCATAGCCTATTTACATCTTTATAAGATACTGAGCTGCACTTTATTTGGGCTGCTGTTTTTGATAATATACACTCTCTTTTAGCTCCATGTTTGGTCTCCACCACACCCAGAGGGAAATATTGAGCTCCAGTGCTTATGTAGTTCAGGGAGGGAAAAAAACAACCTAAAAGATACCGTAAAGATACAAATATCTGACTAGTTTTGCAGAATAGTTCCTCATAGGTGTCCATATGAGCAGTCACTTTCCTCTGAACGTTCTACAAGTTTCTTTACTAAAGACAGTGTGTTGTAGTGCTGCTGCTCATTGTTGTTTCTGTGGCCAGACATTATGTGCATTTTCCACTGAGATGTCCAGTTTGCTCCACTAAGCTGTCCGGGCCTCCTGTCTCCAGTGAGCTCAGAGGTTCAGGCTATTCAAGGGTTTCATAAACATGACACACCTCAGTGCAGAGAGAGTAAGCTTTCACAGAAACAAAATTCATTCAGTGATGGTCAAAAAGCTCACTAGGGTGAATCCTGCTTTTATTGGCTCTCAATCTGTCACGCATAAGATTACTTAGCTGCTTTGATACCGACTTTCTGCATGTTCATGTGTGAAGTCAAATCTCAGTTACACAAACACATATGTAGCTCAAGTCTAAATATAAAGTCGCACTACCATTTGATTCACAGCTCTGTTTCTTAAGGTATAACTCAGTGCAGCCACACCATGTCAAAGGTTTATTTCACACTCGGAATAGAAATAAATAGAGGCGATCTTCATTTCCGTTAAACAGAGCACCTCTCCTGCCTTAACTTGTGAAAGCTTTACATAATAAGCAGTCTTCTCTCTGTCACTGGAACACAATAATAATCTGAGCAGCATCAGTTTGTTTTAGTTTTACTTGTGTGTATGTGTGGGGTCCGTCTCACCAAGCACGGTGATGTTGACGCTGGCAGAGGCGGTCTGACCTAGGACTCCCTCGTGGACACGGCAGACATAGTTTCCGCTGTTGGCCAACTGGGCATAAGGGTAGATCAGGCAGGAGCGCATGCTCGTGCTGGAAAAGACGTCTGTCAGCGGCTCGATGTCATTTGACTTAAAGAAAGAGGGAAATGACAAGGATGAGATATTTTACTGCGTTGAATATCATCCAAATTTAAGAGATTAAACATTTGCTTTGACTTCATGGAAATAGATGTTTGATCTTTAGGAAGCCCTGTGATAGACTGCCGACCTGTCCAGGGTGTCCCCTGCCTTCGCTCTAAGTCAGCTGGGACAGACTCCAGCCCCCCCGCGACCCTAGTGAGGATTAAGCGGTATATAGATAATAATGGATGGGTGGATGGATCTTTAGGGAATATAATCTTGGATATCAAACAGTGGAAGTTGTTGGAAAATATATTTGATGTGTTGCAAAGATCACATGCCCAATTCAGCCCTGAAGATTAGGTAAAGCTGCCCCTTAATTGAGGTGGCAGCAAGAAGGTGCTGGGCATGAACCTGCTGGAGATTTTCTGTGTGGAGTTTTTGTTTTCTCCTTGTGCCTGCATAGGTTTTCTCCAGGTGCTCTGGCTTCCTCTCACAGTCTAAAGACATGCCTTTAAGCTGAATAGGTGACTCGAAATTGGCCATAGGTGTGCACATGTGCATGCATAGTTGTCTGTCTCTTTAAGACCTGAGATGAACTGGTGACCTGTTCAAAGATGCCTCTTGCTTATTGTTTGCTGAAATGTCTACAGAATGAAGTTCATCCTTAACTGACAAGGTGTTGAGTATTAATGTCAAAAACATTCTCTACACAGCCGAAACAGTGAATGTGCTCGCAGTGATCCAAAAATGAGTCGAAGAAGACTCAGTAATTAAGCACCATGTGTTGCGAGCGGGATTTCACAGGAGGATAAAAATTGAGGTGTGTCTCTACATCTTGACACAATTTGGGTTCGGCCATGAGGCCTGAGAGTGATCACAAAGGGAAAAACTGAACAAAAGCGCCTGTTCTGCTTTACGCCTACTCACATCTCTGTTGGGGATATCCCAAGAAAACATCACGAGCTCCACTCCGTGCACCGTGCAGTTTACTGTCAGCGCTTCTCCCTGCTTCAGGACCGTCTTTGAGGCATTGATGTAGATGTCCATGGCCTCTGGGACTGGGACGAGAAGAGAGAGTGTGGGGGAGAGGAGGAAAGATGGTGGGGATGTGGTTTAGCAAGACAGCATGTCAGTACCAAAACTAATCCATCAATAATCCAATATTTTCAAATCAATACTTGAATCTATTAAGTATTAAATTAAATGATTGCACTCTGAAACCAAAAGTCCAGAATTTACATCATTATTGTCTCTCTAAAAAGTAAACTCCAGTTCTCTGTACATCCTCCGGTTTTCTTACCATCCAGGAACCGTGCTAATAAAAGCAAAGAATTGCACTTTTGGACTCACAATACACCATATTATGCCGCATAAGCTGTTTGTAGAAATGTGATGGATGTTTTATGGGATTTTTTTATTATGCTTTAAAAAGATAGACTCATTAACTTTAACAGTTTGGGTGTAGGCTGGGACTGAATTAAAGGGGCCAACTCTGTGTGAGCACTTGTGGCTTCTCTGGAGTTTCAGCACGCGTAGGGGGTGAGCTGATAATGAACACATCTTTATTTTGGAAAGAGCTGTTTCTCCGAGCAAACTCTTTAACCTGTGTACTCACCAAAAATGCTGAAGACGTAGAAGGCCTGAGAGTCTTTCACCTCCCCGTTCAGCTCTCCGCGGCACACATAGGTCCTGTCCTCCAGCACCGCCTTGTATCCCTCACTGGGAACATACAGCCCCTTGATGGGCAGGTCAGTGTCCCTCTCATACAGCGTGACACTGATGTTTGGGTTGGTGACCACGCAGGGGACCGTGCTGTCCTCACTGGTCTTTGTAACCATGCCGTGGGAGCGCTCTATGAACCACACGTCAGGGTCTGGGGACAGATACATGACGTATCTCACTGTATTTAATAATATTAATGAATCACACAATAGCTGTGTTCCAAATCCCTACTTCATCCTACAGTGTGCACTGTAGAAAATAAATCAAATTTTTTAAAAATAAAACAAAAATCTGGAATTAAGTGTGCCAGAAAACATATGTTAAAAAAAAAAGTGAAATACTTTCAAAAATTGTAAGAATGCTCAAACTAACTGCAAATATCTGTAAAATAATTGGATTTTTTTGTCAAGTCAGTCAAACAAAGTCATTTCATTGTCACACAAAGTAACAGAACTAATTACTACGTGTTAACAATACAGATTTTTGACATAAACATTATTGCTTTACAGTGAGCATGTAAATTAATACCTTTTTCTTTGATTTGACTAGATTTTATCTGTAATATAGCAAAATAATAATAATGATAATTAAATTGTGTAAGCATATGATCAAACATCTTTAAAGCATGAATTTTTATGTGGATGTTATTTACAGTTTGGACCTGTTTTTTGTTTGGTTGGTTTTACGGGCAACATATAAATTAATATATTTCTGTGATTTTAAAAGATTTTATCTATAATTTAACAAAACAGGGAAAATCTCTAATAGTAAAGTTAAAATTTCAAATTATTTACTATTTCCCTTAATATACATGATTTTTCTTTTAAATAATGTCAAATATTTGTAAAATAATGACATTTTTTGCTAACCTAAATACAATTAGAAAGAAAAACATGCTATATGGTCAAACATTGTACAAAATAAAATAAAATAAAATAAATACTAAAAAAAACAGATGTTTGAGGTAGACATTATTTACAGTTTTGATCCATTTTCTTTTTCAAACAATATGTAAATTAATAGTTTTCTGTGATTTTAGTAGCTATTAATAATTTAGGGAAAAACTGTAAAATAACAGTAAATTGTTTGAAAAATGTAGAGTTAAAAATTGTTTTTAAATAAACTTTAGTTTTTTCACAGTGTGACTTTCACAAAAAGAAAGCAACATACTTTTCTTGTGACTCAGTGCAAAGATCATCCTGAAGGTTTTTCCACACTGTTCACAGCAGTTTAGGCAAAAATCTATTTTTTTTTTTTTTTTTTAGAAGTTCATGCTCATTACCTTTTTAAAGTGGACTTTGTTTTATCAATTTCACATTACACATTATAAACTCAAAACCGGAGTCAGTAATGTTCCCACCTGACAAAAGACACTAAGACAGTTTTCATTTGTCTTTCACGTAAGGCCTAATTCTAAATCAGGAAATTGAAACAAGGTTAAACAAACTACGCCCCACCTGGGACAAACACAGCCACCTCCTTAGTTTCTCCAGTGTGGCGATCAATACACAGATACACGCCTGTGCTCTTCCAGCTCACGCTCCACAAGGTCAGAACACTGGACCTGGCGTCAGTTTGCACAATTTGGTAGCTTTGACGGCCATTTGGAACTTGTTCAACTTGAAAATACGGCACGTCGTCCTTCTTAAACTCCCAGGTCGTCTCCCCAGAGCCGGAGCAGTTCAGTGTGAGAGAGGAGCCCTCAGCCAGGACCAGCTCTTTGTCGTCAGGTGTGATCTCCAGGCAGCACAGTTCAGTGCAGAAATACAGGAGGGCTGCAGTTTGCACAACAACAACAACAAAAAGGGGTCAGGATGGAGGTCAAAGAGATGGCAGCAGAGGGTCAAAGGTTAAAACAACAATGTAAGTCAGATCCTGTTCTATCTCTATATGGTGAAGGACGTGAGTTGTCCGGAGCAGATTAGCAGGAAGATAATGATGCCAGGTCAGTGACAGATGCATCTAAAATGACAGAGGTGAGCTTCAAGGCATCGGTTGTGCTTTACATCAAATTCTGGGAAGCTAATTAAAGAATGCAAAAGAGACACTTTATTTTTAAAACTCTATTCTTTGAGCATCGTTGACAACAATACTGTACATACACAAAGCAAACCCTATTGAAATACCCTGTACTATCTAAGTACAACTTTGTCTTAACTACAAGTCCTGCAAGTGTAGTGAGACATAAGTTGTGACCTCTTCAATCAAGTATTATTTGGATATGTTGTAAGAAGAACAAAAAAGTCCCAGTTTGCTTTAACTGTAAAACACTCCACCTAAGCTTGGCATCACATTTCCCTCCAAAATCCCCTATTTTTTTTATTGCTGTGTTACAGATTTTCACTTTTGTTTTGTTCAAGTTCTCACCTGTAAGTATAAGTGTCAGGTGGTGCGTTGATCCCGTCACCCTCCTCATGGTGGAAGCCTTCTACCACTTTTTTTTTTTTTAATTTTTCTGCAAACAAACAGATGATATAACAACACCAGTCAAACCCCATGTGCTGTTTCTGGAAAACCCCACATGTCACATTAACTTAGCCAGTAGTGAAAGAAATCAAAAGATCATTTTGCCCACAAAATGTTTAATAACTGTAGTGAAACTGAATGAAACAGCAGAAAAATCGTCCGAATAAAAAACTCCACTGGAGTTTACATACATCCATGAGGGGTGAGCTTCATATCATGATGGATTGAGTCCTGCCCTAATGAGCTCTAGTGGGTGAGGTTAAGTGAGAAAATAAATCATGCTGCATGTCAGAACAATCTGCTTGTAATGACACAAAATTGCTCTGCTCATACTAAAAAGAAGGAAACAAAAAGCACAAGGTTTGTTGTCAAGCTGCTCTCTTTAATGGCGACACACGCACACACACACACACGCACACACACACACACACACAAAATCTAAGGTGCAGATGCAGCTCACTCTGGAGGTATTTGATGCCTCGCTGCACCCGGACAGAGCAACAATGTCTCGCTCTTTTTGTTCCCGGTTCACCAGCATTCTGCCCACTAACAAACGGGTCACTGTGTGCAGCTTTTGCAACACGCTCATTGGCAACAATGCTGCGTCCAAGCTATTCTAGAGCCGTGCTGAGCCATTAATTGGTTTTGGTATAAACAAAAGTGAAAATGAGGGCATTCACATAAGCTGCTGACAGAGGAGTGTACTTGGAGTTTTGAAAGGTTGCCATGGTTTTGCAATACTCATGGGACATCCTGTGGTACACCAATGTCATATCAACTTTGCAGATTTCAGCACCTACTGAGGTGACTGGGGCTCACCGTCATCCTATCGTCATTTACCAGCATTTTGCAAAAAAAAAAAACCCTTAAAGTTCTAATTTGAGTGTTAGAGGTCAGAGGAAAAGATGGAAGAGGGGAGGGCTGGTTTGTTGTTGTGTTTGGGATGGGGGTTAAGGCCTGCAGCACGCAGACGTCTGGAACCAGTTAAGGATGGATCACAGGCCTCTACGCAACAGGGTGGGAAAGAGAGAGAGGGCGGAAGAGAGAGTCTTGGGAAGAGCGAGGGTGGAGGAGGAAGAGAAGGAGTGAGCCAGTGGAAAAATTGTGAAATGTGTCTTGAGAAATCTTGCTTTAACATTTTTACTTGATAAGACACTCTAAATTTGTAATCTCTATTTTAAGAAACTGGAGTATCTCTACACATTATGCAATAAAAGACAAGATTTCACTTCTCTATGGTATCTAGAACTGATAGTTTTCTCAGTTTTACTTGATTAATCAAATCGACGTAGCACCACCTTTACTACATCTATCAAACTGTTTCATGCTTTTTAAGGTTATTTTCCAGGTGAAAGAGGGATAAATGATCTGATCAAGCTGGCAGTGGTGGTGAAGTACAAAAAGTTCTGTTACCAAAACCAGATACTTGCTGTCTCTCTAAATTAACTGCCTTTGGCACTTCCGCTCCCAAAACGAAAAGCTCAAAGCTCATGAGTTGCTCCAAAAACATGACTGGTCCATTTCCTCCCCCGCCTCCTGGTTCTAATAAAAAAGATTTGAAGGAGAGGCAGACACAGTGAAACCAACTTTTTTTTTTTTTCTTCTGTGTTGTACACATGCACGCATAAACATTCTCCCTGGCACATAATGCATGCTGCATGTATACACAGTACGCACATGCTCTGTTACAGCCCACCCCCCCATCCTCCATACACTACCAACACACACTCAGAAACAGAAACAGACCTCTCCCCCGTTTCCCCTTTTTTGTCACTGGTGTCTGTGTACAGTTCACGTTCCCACAGTATTACTCTGAAACTTTCCCAGGACCGCTGATACACTTGGGACCTTGCTGGGTGATGACGGCAGGAGCGGTGGGGTCGCCTCATCCCTGGGGGCCCTGGCAACAAGCGGCGAGGGGTCCGTCCGCTGAGGAAGCCGTACATCAGCGCTCAACAAGTACCAGTAAGCCTCAGTGTCAGTGACGATAACTCCGAGCGACGTGAGCCAAAACACAGTGACAACAAAGTCATGTGTCATTTGGCAACATGAAAACTAACAAATCGCACTCGGACTGGATGCTGATGCATGTCCGCTAAAAAAAAAGTCAAACTGCGAAAGTAAGGGCTACTGCAGGAAACAGATTTACATCTAACGTGAAACAGCAGAAAACCATCTTTGTTTAACAAGAACCTAGATGTTTTTTAGGATCTTTGAAAGGGACGGAAAAATAATGTTTAGCTTCTGCAACATGATAAGGTTTCATGTTGACCAATGGGCCGGGGGGGGGGGACTATGAGCAGAGGCCTTTGAGAGGAAATCTGACCCTAAAAATGGGATGTGCTTTGTAGGATCAGAGGCCAAATGCAGCCAGAGGACTTCTTTTCCAAGTGTTATTGGAGCAAACTCTGTAAGAGGAGATTCAGGATTTAACAGCGTGCAACAGGGAAATGAAAGTTTTAGTTTTGGAGTGAATGCACACCTAAGAATAGATCTACAAAAATGTTCAAAAAAAAAGAGATGGCATTTGTGGTAATCCTTGTCCTGGTCAGGTCTTTGCACAACAAACAATGTCATGAAGCGTTAAAAGGGTCAGGGCACTTGTGAATCTGCCAGGACGGTTTGGCAGCATTTCAGTGGCTTTAATAAAAACACTTGGTAGCAGTTTGAGGCCTGACCCACAAGGCTGCTCTTTGTTTGAACCACAATAACAACAGAGTCATTTACAGTAAGAGATGTCCACAATGTCCATAAATTAAGTCAAGCGGTTCTCAATGAGGATGAGAACCGAGAACCTTAAAAGATGTGAAGTACAGTTTTATAAGCCAGATGTTTATTGTTGTCTTTTTAATCCTTGAAATGAGATACTACGTTCCCGCAGTAATCTTGGAGGTCTGACAAAAACAAACAGTGTTTTTGTCAGCGATGGCACGGTAATCACTGTGAAGGATGAATTGTTATCACTCTGTATTAGTTTTCCCACAGATGCTGGGAATTTGGTGGCTGATTGACCCTTCGCGATTTTCATAAACAACCCCGCTACACTCAGAGTGTCACCAGCTAACGAGGAAGAATGCTAAAGTCGACATCAGCGGGATGCACGCAGCCCACGCTCAGCCTCAGGATACAGCTAGAGTGTGTAAACGCCAGTCCCTCAGCAGCCCGTAATCCCACTCCTGGGATTATCTATATATACTGTAGCTCCATGTTTCGTTTAGACATCTGGCAGTGATAAAGCAGTCCTCAATGAGGTGGGAACTGCTGTATGAACCACATTTGCAGCCAACTGTTTGCTTGAGCACATCCCAAGGGGGGAAAGCTTGCACTTGGAAAAAGGAGAGAAAAAGTGTAATCTATAACAAAAGAGGGAAAATTTCCCAAAAAGCCTCCCAAAGTGCAGCTGGAGAGCTCCGACATCCTGTACGGGGAATTTTCTGGCCCTATGTGGGTGTGAGGCAGTGATGCATCACTGACACAGCAGACCATCACAACCACGAACTTACAGAGAAAAACAAGAGATGCCACAATGAGTCTAAGACCAACTGCACAGAAACTTCTACAAAGCGACAAAACGTCTTTAAATAACAAGCTGGACAGAAAAGACGTAAACTCACAATGAGATAAGAGGGAAAACAAAGTGTAAACAAAGAGAAAAAACAAGGTGGAAAAAACAATCGAATTCAAGAACAGGATGATTACACCAATGACAAAGCATGAACACACCACAAGAAAACAGCACACAGCACCAGACAGTGGAAAAAACAGCCAAGGGAGCATGCAGACATACGGGTTCTAATTTATGGGAGACACCACATCAAAGCACAGAGTGGGACAGCAGAAGGAGCGCACACTCAGTCTTACATCACAGACAGTGATGTTTACTCTGCTGAAGTGTCCAGGAAGCTGCGATCTACAAAACAAACATCTCCAATTTAGCGGTCACTTCTTTCCAATGCAAACAATTATAGCTTAGATAAGACAGAATTTAATCTATCGCTGACACTGAACTCTTTTTTTAGGACATGTACTATATCATATCATAGCGCAGAATAAATGCACTTGCCCTATTTGTCTTCTTTAGATTTCCTTTTTAGAAGGATGTCAGGTTTTCTTGATGTATCTCTGACCAGCAGGACTTTGGCGAGCTCTGTGGGAAAAAAATGACCCAGTGTGTCTTTGTTAAAACAAACCTCCATTTTTATCACCCGTCTTGGACTGACCATCCCCCCTGAGGAAAACCTTCTGGTCCCTCGGCAGCAGACCCGTGATGCACTATTCCCACCCCAGGCGGCCTCTACGTCCACCATCTCCGACATGACTAATACAAATACTATACATTACCAGAGCTGTAAAAATGACTAAGAAACGGCAGGCTGAAGAAAAATTCAGCTGCACTCACAATGTGTAACTAGTAAGCTGTCAGAACATGTGAGTTATTGTCAGCAGGAAATGCTTAAATACACAGTCTGCTTATGGAGCCTGTGTTCATGTCATTAGGATTTTTCAGACTGTAAAGGAAGATAGTGAGACGTCATACATCTCCATTCTTGTAGAAATGTCCCTGCAATGCAAAATTGCTTCTATTTGTTGTGTTTAAACATACTTGGTTCAGTATGTGGCATCTAAAGCAACATTAATAGATTTTTTTGGCCACTTGGGGCCAGCAGAAACAAGCTCTAAACACAACAGGACTTTCTCAATTCCGGTACTTGGGCAGTTCAAACTTGTCAAGTCACCTCGGGAGTCCCGACTCCTCAGCACGGGAGGAATATTTACAATCTAAAGAGCAGTGATCTTGCTGACACCAGCAGCTCGGCTGGGCTCTGATGATTACACAGGACAACTTACTGTACTGTGACATAACTCATAGGTCAACAAACAGGGAACGATGAAAGATTGACAGCAACATGATGTCAGAAGGGAAGTCGATTACCCAATTTATAATCTATATTTAAAAATAGGACGGATTTATATGTGAGCAATACTTTT